TATTATATTATTAAAATCATATATCATAATATATATATATATATCAAAATAAATTTTAATATTAATTCGAATTAATAAAAATTTCATTAATAATTATTATATAATTCAATTTTAATTACAACAATATTTTTTGTTTTTTTTTTTGTTTTTTAGGAGAAGCTATCTGCTCGGTGTATATTCAACCTGAAGGATTCGGTGCTCCACCTCAACAATTAGGTAGTTACAAAAAGGAAATTACTCAAAGTTTCCAAACAACTGAACAAAAAACTGGCACCCAAAGTTTCCAACAACGCAGTTATCAACAATCCTACGACAAACGAAGTTATGTCAATGGAACCTCCAGCATCGAAGATTTCAAAGTAATTTTATTCATTACTTACAATGATTTTTTGTTTAACAATATGATCGTATAATATCAAACATTAATTAAAAATAATATTTGTTTCGTTTATTTGTTATAGGTGGATACTTTTGAATATAGATTATTGCGCGAAACGGAATTTCGAGAATCGATTACTCGTCGTTTTGTTGGCGAATCTGATGCGCAAATCTCAACAGTGGTTGATCGCAATCTGGGTCCGGTTGCACCAGCACAAATTACCCAAAAACCGAGAAATTCTAAACTCATTGAAGGATCCGATGCTGTTTTTACAGCTAAAGTTACAGGAAATCCCAAACCAAGGGTAATTATGATCTTCATTGAATTTTCCTTAACTTATTAAAATCATAATATTAACAAAGTATAAAATTTATGTTTTATTTTCCAGTTGACTTGGTTTAAAAATGGTCAAAGGATTCGTGAATCTCAACGAGTTGAAATGAGTTATTCAAATCAGCAAGCAACATTGAAGATTAGGGTAGCATTACCAGAAGACAGTGGCCATTACACTTTACTATCTGAAAATCAACAAGGTTGCACAGTAAGTTCAGCATATTTGGCCATTGAATCAAGTGATCAAGTTGATCAAGCTGTACATCAAATGCAACAAAGAGAAATTGTTAAAAGTCAACAAATTGATTCATCGTCATCAGAATCGGAAACTGGTAAAGTTCTTCCACCTAATTTCGTTCGTACTTGCAATGATCGAGAAGCTACCGAAGGAAAGATGACTAGGTAAATTATAAAATAATAATTCAATTACACACATAAATTAAATAATAAAAATATGTTAATTGTATAGGTTTGATTGTCGTGTAACTGGTCGACCATATCCAGAAGTAACATGGTACATCAATGGTCAACAAGTAGCCAATGATTTAACTCATAAAATTCTTGTCAATGAATCTGGTAATAACTCTTTGATGATTACCAACGTGAATCGTGCCGATGCAGGTGTAATAACTTGCATTGCTAGAAACAAAGCTGGGGAAACTTCATTTCAATGTAATCTCAATGTCATCGAGAAGGAACAAGTTGTAGCACCGAAATTTGTTGAACGTTTTACCACAACTAATGTTAAAGAAGGTGAACCTGTTGTATTTATGGCACGTGCGGTTGGTACTCCAATTCCACGAATCACTTGGCAGAAGGTAAACTAAATTTTTAGTATGAAATGTTAAAATCATACTTTTAATGAACTGTAGTCTAATTGTTTGATTATATTTAGGATGGTGTACCAATTGCACCTGGTCCAGACGTGCGCATATCTATGGACGACAGTGGGGCATCAACATTGGATATACCATGCGCTAAATTCTCTGATGCAGCTTGGTATCAATGTACCGCACAAAATGTGGCTGGTTCCACTGCAACCCGAGCACGGCTTTTCGTAGAAACACCTAAAGGAGCCGCACCTGAACCAAGACGCTTGAATTTACCCCGACCGACTAAAATCATCGAACCTGAGTAAGTTATTATTAAATCATATTAATTAGGGATTAATTATCTCATATCTGATAATTTTCTAACGCTTACTAATAATTCAAGGAAATGTAAGGTATACAAATGTTTCATTTATAAATTAACATGTTCCCTGTCAAACCATTTTTGTTCAACTTTGTTGTACAAGTTGTAGGTTATTTGATTTTCATCATAAATGGGTACACGTGACATGGAACGTGTTAAATTTCAAATAATTAATGATAATTTATTCAAAACGTTGTTCATTACTATTACAGACCAACACCTGGCCCCGAAGTGATTTACCTGAGACACGTAGAACGTGCAAAACCATATTTGCCACCACCCGAGGAAGATAAAATTTATCCACCTCCACGTTTTATTATACCATTGAGAGACGTTCATCAAATTGAAGGTGGACGTATTCACTTCGAGGCCAGAATCGAACCGGTGGGTGATCCCACTATGAGAGTTGAGTGGTATGTAAATGGAAGAGCACTTGATGCAAGTAAGTTATTGTTATATTTATAAAATAATGATTACAATAAATTGATTACATTTATACAAAATATAAATATGATTGAAATTAAATTTGTAGGTTCACGAGCTACATCAATCTTCCGATTCGGCTTTATTTCTCTTGATTTGATCAGCATAGTACTTCAAGATAGCGGCGAATATCTGTGTCGCGTTGTTAGCTCAACAGGAGTTGCCGAATCCCGTGCCACTCTTAGCGTGACACGTGAGTATTTCAATTATTTATAATTTAATTTATTTAAGATGAATTAATTAAGATGAAACAAACCTGTTCGTGCATTCATTTGTGTTAAAACTTTAATTCCAAATTGTATAATTGAATTATGTTTGTTTTTATTTTTAATATTTAATATATCCAAAATTTATTTGGTTGGTATGTTAATTAAAAAAATGTACGAACATCTTTTGGTTCAATTTATTCAACCTAAATATTACAAATACATTTTATGAATTACCAGTTAATGTTTTTGTTAAAATTAATTAACTTTTAGCACGCGCTACGATCGAGCAAGCTAGCCAACACCCCGACAGTCTTCAATATATCCAACAGCTGGAGGATTATAGCAAATATCAAAGGCAGGAGAGCGTGGAGGAGATATCTTCTTCCCAACGACCGGTCTTCATCCGACCACTCCAGGATCTTGGTGAGCTACAGGAAGGTCGTAACGCTCATTTCGAGGCTCAGTTGACACCTGTTAGTGACCCCACCATGAAAGTGGAGTGGTACAAGGATGGTAGACCAATCACAGCTAGTTAGTATTCAACAATAATCATTTTAATTATAATATTTTCTGATCCAATTTATAATATAACTTGTTATTATATATATATTATTTTCTTGTTCAATTAGGTTCAAGAATCACAACCATCTTCAACTTCGGATACGTCTCGCTCAATATATTGCACCTACGGGCTGAAGATGCAGGTTCTTATACAGTCAAAGCTATGAATCGTTTGGGAGAAGCTATCAGCTCCGCGACTCTTCGTGTCTTTGGTAAATTATACAAATTATTAATTATAACAAAACAAAATTCATTGATTAAGTTAATCGTCAGCTCGTATAGACTTAAGTAAAAGCAATGTAAAATGATTTGAAGATTAATAATATTGTTGATCAATATATTACAGCTAGAACTAGTGTAACAACAGATTTAGGTATTCCTGAGCAACAGAGATATATTGAAGCTGCCGAGGAATTGGAAGCTTATCAACAGGCTATTCATCAAAAATATGTCCAAGAACAGCCTGAACCGACTAGCCCACCGGAATTTAAATCTCCTATTAAAGATCAAAATGGAATACGAGAAGGTGGGTTTGCTCATTTCGAGGCCCGTTTAGAGCCAGTTGGGGACGCTGATTTACGCGTCGAGTGGCTCAAAGATGGACGCCCAGTAGAAGCCAGTAAGTTTATTTCACAACAAATCAAATTTTCTACAGGATTTATTTCACACAAATTCATTTTTGTTTCTTTTTATTCAATAAGGTTCAAGAATAACAACATTCTTTAATTTTGGTTACGTTGCATTAACTATTAAATACGTGACGATTCATGACGTTGGCATTTACACATGCCGTGCTTACAACAGAGTTGGTGAGGCCCATACAACAGCACAATTAAGCGTCATTAGCAAAAACGATGTCATTTATGACAGTCAACATCCAACTGGATTACAAAGAATCCAAACTCTTGAGGATTCTAGCAAATATATGCGTCAAGTGCAAGAAGAAGTACAGGTTAAACAAGCACCACGTTTCTTAGGCACATTGAAAGGAACTAATAAAATTGTGGAAGGTCAGAGAGCCCATTTTGAAGCTCGTGTCGAACCTCAGAGTGATCTTACTATGAAAATCGAGTGGTATCATAATGGCAAACCCATTACTGCTGCTAATAGGATTCAAACTTATCATGATTTTGGATATGTTGCTATTGATATTCTTCAAGTTAGACCTGAAGATGCTGGGACGTATACGGTGGTTGCTAGAAATGCTTTGGGTGAAGCTCAACTTTCTGCAACCATGATCGTAGAAAGTGAGTATTGATTTTAGGATTATCCTTAACTCAAACTGGCCTAATTAAAATATATTACGATCATTTTTGTTTAGCACGTTCAAGCGTAGATACAAGCAGCATGCACCGTGGTACTTTTGAAAAAACACAACGTCTCGAAGAATCGAAATTTATCGAACCACAATATCACATCGAAGAAATATCCAAATCAAAACCAATTTTTGTTCAACCATTGAGTGATCCAAAACCAGTAAGCGAAGGAAAAAATATTCATTTGGAGTGTCGTTTAGAACCAATGGGGGATCCAACTATGAGAGTAGAATGGTTCCAAAATGGACGACCAGTAACAGTTGGTTCAAGATTTAGAACTTATTATGATTTTGGATTCGTTGCTTTGGATATCGTACATTCAACTGCTTATGATTCTGGAGAATATACCGTCAGGGCTACCAATCATCTTGGTACTGCTCATACTTCAGCTTGTGTCAGAGTCATCGGTAGATCTGACGTTGTTACTGAAACTCAAAATGAACAATCACTTGAACAAATACAAATGCTAGAAGATACATCCAGGTTAGTCACAAACTCTGACGATGAATCAAATAAAAATGTGTTTGAACAATTGAAATGATTTGTTTATCTGTTTTTTAGATATCGTAAAACTCAACAAGAAGAAGTCACCGTAATGCAAGCCCCTCAATTTACTCGAGCATTGCATAACATTGAAACTGTCGAATTAACCAACGTCCATCTCGAGTGTCGTCTTCAACCAGTTGGTGATGCAACTATGAGAGTAGAATGGTTCGTCAATGGAAGACCAGTTAAAACTGGACACCGTTTTAGACCCTCTTACGAATTTGATTATGTTGCATTGGATATTCTTGGTGTATATCCTGACGATTCTGGAGTTTACACTTGTCAAGCAACTAATCAATTGGGTGAAGCTGTCACCTCGTGTTCGGTTCGAGTACACGCTAAGAAAGATCTCTTGTTAGAATCTCAACATCCAGAAGGTTTAGAAAGAATACAATATTTGGAAGATGCTTCCCGTTATAAAAGACATGAATTGGTTGACGAAGTTGTCACAGTTAAACCCAAATTTGTTACTAGTCCTAAAAATCAAGAAAATCTTCGGGAAGGACAACACGCTCATTTCGAGTGCAAACTTGAACCCGTAACTGATTCCAATTTGAAAGTAGAATGGTATAAGAATGGTCGTCCAGTTACAATAGGTAAACTATCAAAAACACAAATTCGTTTATTAAGAATAAAATATAATCCATCTGTTTTGTTTTTCTTTAGGACACCGATTCCGTCCAATCCACGATTTTGGTTACGTTGCATTGGACGTGATCGATTTGATCGCTGAAGATTCTGGAACGTACACATGCCGAGCTGTCAATCTTGTCGGTAGCGATGAAGTATCCTGCACATTGTCATGCCGTTCAACTGCACAAATTTTAACCGATACCCGTAACGAAAGTGGCCTTGAACAGATTCATTATCTCGAGGATCGTTCCAAGTATCATCGTCAAGAAGTTATCGAAGAAACTACGACACAAGCACCGATATTTACAACTTCATTGAACAATGTTGAAATAAAGGAAGGACAAAGAGCTCATTTCGAGTGCAGATTAATACCAGTGTCAGATACGACGATGAAAGTTGAATGGTTTCATAATAATATGCCAGTTAAAGCTGGATCAAGATTTGTTGAGACCAATAGTTTTGGTTTCGTTGCGTTGGATATCATGTATGCTTATCCAGATGATTCTGGTACATACACATGTCGTGCTAAAAATATTATTGGTGAAGCTATTACATCAGCAACTGCTGTAGTACATTGTAAGTTTATTAATTGTTAAATATTTCAAAATGTAATCTGTTAATGGATAATTATTGTTAATGGATATTAATAATTATTTCAATTGTAATTTATTCAACAGCGAAAAAATCAATTTACATGGAATCCCATAACGAGGAAGCTTTGGAAAGACTTCGTTACTTGGAAGATACATCACGTTACCAACGTAAAACCGTACAAGAAGAAACGGTCACCCAAGCACCAATTTTCACGATGCCGATCAAAGATTTACGAGTTGCTGAAAATCAAGCGGCTCACTTTGAAGCACGTGTCATACCTGTTGGTGATTCCAAACTCAAAGTTGAATGGCTTCGTAACGGTGTACCCATTGCTGCTTGTAAGTTAGAAATGTTTGATACAAAAGTTAAGTCATTTACTTTCACATTCAATCATATATTACATAAATATTTTCTTTTAGCAAATCGGGTAACAACTATGCACGATTTTGGATACGTCGCATTGAACATGAAGTACGTGAACCCTGAAGATTCTGGTACTTACACTTGCCGTGCTACAAACGATTTAGGAGAAGCCGTAACTTCAGCAACACTTTTCGTACAATGTAAGTAAACAATTGGGTAAAATTTAATAAATAAAACAAAAACCGGGATTGCTTAGTAAGCAAATAGTTAGACGTTTGTTAAGCTTTTGTCGCTGTACAAAATATTACGCTTAAATTGCTAAATGTTGTTTATTTTAAAGGTAGTACAAATTATTGCTACTTTTTGTGAAATATATTTTTTTTGGTCATCCTAGAGTGACCAATCCATGAAATGAAATATGATGTACCATTTTTCGTCGTTGGTATTTTTTTCATACAATTTTTGATCGAACACTGAGAACAAAAACCCTGTTAGGTGTTCAGACAAACAAAAAAAGAAAAACTAAAACAACATTAATAAAATATATCTTAACGTAATCATAATCATAATAACAACAAATTACACTGACAAATAACTGTTCCCACGACACAGCAAAAGCAGCCCTGCAATTCGAGTCTCAACACGAAAGTTCATTGTCAAAACTACAAGCCCTGGAAGACACAAGCAAATATCAACGTCGTGAAGAAGAAGAGATAGTTGTGAAAGAAAAACCTTCATTTACTGTTCAATTAAATGGACCTTCGAAATTAGTCGAAGGACAAAGTGCACATTACGAGTGCCGTATAGAACCCTATCCTGATCCGAACATGAAGGTGGAATGGTTCCACAATGGTAAACCATTGACCACCGGTCACAGGTATAGAACAGCTTGTGACTTTGGCTTCGCATCTTTGGACATTCTGACAGTTTATTCTGAGGATTCCGGCACTTACACCTGCCAGGCCACCAATAAACTGGGATCGGCCAAGAGTTCGATAAATCTTGAAGTTAAATGTGAGTAAAAATCAAATGTCAAAAAAACAAGAACAGCAATTATATATCAATGATATACGATAACATATTTTAGATTGATAGGTACTTGAGCTTATGTGCTTCTTTATCTTTCCAATAAGTATTTTGTGCTTTTTTTTATCCCCAACATCTATATCTTCGTCTACATTGTTACAAATGATAATTAGATACAAGTTATCGATAGATTTTTGTGCCGATGAAGCGAAGATTACCTGTTGTTGTTCAATGTTTGTTTGTGCGTTGCGTGAATACGGGGACAGTAGGTGGATTATTATTCCTTGCATAGATTCCCTTATTTTTTATTTTATTACTCAGTTCAGTTATTAGGTTGATCAATCCTTTGTCTTGTTGTGTATATACCTTATTTATTTTTTTTTGTTTATTGCTTGCAAGTATCATTCCATGTACTCGAATGACATTCTACGAATGTTAACTGCGTGTAAGTTTGTGTGTATCACATCAGATTTGTATGTAACATAATTTGCTAATTTTTTCAGCACGTTCATCTATCATTCGCGAAACCCAACATGAAAGTGCACTTAAGAAGATACAATATCTTGAAGATGATTCTCGTTACAAACGTACCGAGGAAGAAGATTTTATAATTGCTGAAAAGCCTAAATTTGGTAGACCATTGAAGAATATCGAACATTTACCAGAAGGCAAAAGTGCTCATTTAGAAGCAACATTAACACCAGTTAATGATCCAACTATGATCGTTGAATGGTTCAGAGATGGTAGACCTGTACCTCAAGGACACAAATTTAAAACTACTTATGATTTTGGATATGTTGCTTTGGATATACTTTATGCTTACCCAGAAGATTCTGGTACTTACATGTGCAAAGCCAGAAATGCTGTTGGGGAAGCTGTCACCACGTGTGTCATCAGCGTAGACTGTAAGTTAAATAAAAAAAAAAAATATCAATTTATTAAATCATATTTTTTCTATTGAAATTTATATACAAATTGGTCAGGTGTATTTTTTGTACAACCGTATAAATAATATAAATTTTTCTTGTTCAAAACAAACGATAAACGTACGTCAAAAAAATTATATCATTGAAAAAATTGACAAGTACAACATATTTAAATAAATAAAAATTAAAATAAAATATTAAAACTGTGATTTTGTTTTATTTACAGCTAAACAAGGTCTTTATTTGGATACATTGGATGCACAACGTTTACAAAAGATTCGTGAATTAGAAACTGTTGAGATTAAAGAAGAAATTGAAAAGGAAGTTGTTCATCAAAAACCTGTATTTTTAACCCCATTAAACAATCTGGATCATTTAAAGGAAGGTGAACACGCACATTTGGAATGTCGCGTAGAACCCATCAACGATCCAAATTTGAAGATCGAATGGTACGAATAACATTTCATATATGTTGGGTTAATTAATGTTATGTAAAATCAATGAATTTAATTTAATATTAAAATTGTAGGTTTGTAAATGGGGTGGCAGTAAGAACTGGTCATCGTTTCCGTACAACACACGATTTTGGTTATGTTGCATTGGATATATTGTATACTTATCCAGAAGATGCAGGTACTTACATGTGCAAAGCAACCAACTTGGCTGGAGAAGCTGTTAATACCTGCACAATTAAAGTTGGCTGTAAGTTTATACTTCATTTCAAATATTTTTCAAAAATAAATATTAACAATTTACATATGTCCTTGTCACGATCAGCAAAATCGAATAAACATCGTTCACCCGATTCCTACCTCCAAAAAAAACCCTACCCAACATATAAAAATGAATTCCCACAATTTTCCAAATCTCAGCATAAATTTACTAATGAAAATATACGAAAGGATTGTTGTTCAGTACCTTGTAAATCAATCGAACCTAACACGTATCACTGTAAAAAATCATTTACAAGTAAAATGTATTCCCAATCACCTAAAATAACTGTACACGATCCTAACAAACATTGTCCTGTAAGACGTATTACATTTAGACGATGATAACATGAATATTATTTCAAGTTAGTGAACAATTTATTATGAAATCAAACAATTTATTAATTTAATAAACAATCTAAAATTTGTATTATTTTATTCAGCTCGTCGCAGTATACTTTTGGATACTCAACATCCAGATGGTTTAGAAAAGATTCGTGAACTCGAAGCTCATGGTCATCCTGCAAGATTAGAAGTTGAAGAACCACCAGTAACCCCACCCAGATTTGTTTCTGAACTTAGGGTAAATTTCTAAAAATGAAAACAACAACAGTGACAACCACGAGATGCCAATAAATTGGATGATTATTTTCTAGGGTACTACTGAAGTTTATGAGGGTCAAACAGCACACTTCGAATGCCAAGTTGAACCACTTCACGATGCCAATTTACGAATTGAATTCTATCACAATGGCAAACCATTACCATCAGCATCCCGTTTCCATATGACATTTGATTTTGGTTACGTTGCATTGGACATCAGTCATGCAGTACCAGAAGATGCAGGACAATATTCCGTTAAAGCAATCAACACATTAGGACAATGTGTTTCTTCAATCGAACTTAAAGTAATACCCCGTGACAATATAATCTTGGATTCACAAAGACCAGAAGGAATGGACAAGATTCGTGAGCTTGAAGCACAACAACCATGGAAAAGACCAGACATACCGGAACCACAAACTAGACAACGACCTGTCTTTACACAACCCTTACAAAATATCGATGCTATACCCGAAGGTCACACAGCTCATTTCGAATGCAGATTGATACCTGTTGGTGATCCTACACTAAAAGTTGAATGGTTTAGGAATGAAGTACCTTTGGAAACAAGTATGACAAATAACATTTTGTTGACTACAAAATATTACTCAAATTATTTTGAATATTATAAAATGTTTTATTTTAGGTTCACGTATAACAAAGGTTCACGATTTTGGATACGTGGCTTTGGATATTACACATGTTCGTGATGAAGATGAAGGTGTTTACATGTGTCGTGCTTCTAATCCACTTGGAGAAGCAGTTACTACAGCATCGATGAAAATAAAAAGTTAGTTTTCTTCTACCATGTTTTATAACCTATTTTATATACAGTCTTCAATAAGAAATTTCATTACTTTGTGTGTGTGTGTGTGTATTTTTAGCTAAGGCCAGTATACAATTGGATACTCAACACCCAGAAGCACAACGTAGAATTGCACAATTGGAAGCTGATAAAGGACCTAGTCGTGCTGAAGAACCAGATAAGGTTTTCGACAAGCCAATATTTACTCAATTATTAACTGGACCAACAGAACTTTGGGAAGGTCAGCTTGCCAGATACGAATGTAGAGTTGTACCCGTGGGTGATGCCAGTTTGAGATTTGAATGGTACATGAATGGAGTCGAGTTAAAAATGGGTAAGTCTTATAAATCCTTCAAAATTATTATGTTTGAGTTACAATATTCTCAAATGTTAATATTAATCATTAAATTACAGGATCTCGCTTCCATGTAAATCATGATTTTGGTTATGTAACATTGGACATATTGAAAGTAATACCAGAAGATTCTGGTGTATATACTTGTAAGGCTATCAACAAAAGTGGTGAAGCTGTTTCGTCGATTTCATTGAAAGTTAAAGCACGTTCTGCAATTGATGCTCAAAGTATACAACCGGACGCATGGCAAAAGATTCAACTAAAGGAAGCTGAAATGAATAAAGTACCAGAGATGTTCGTTGATACAACTCCACAACAAGCACCAGTTTTCACCAAACATTTAGAAAGTTATGATAAATTGATTGAAGGACAACACGTTTATCTAGAAGCTCAAGTAGAACCAAGAGCTGATCCTAATTTGAGAGTAGAATGGTTCAAAAATGGTATATCATTGCAAACCGGTACAAGATTACGTAGTACATTTGATTTTGGTTTAGTCACGTTGTCCATTAATGGTTTGAGACCAGACGATTCAGCAATTTATACTTGCAAAGCTACAAATTTACTTGGAGAAGCTGTGTCTACTTGTAGTTTGAAGATCGTGGATCGTCATTGGCTTCTTGGTGATACTCTTCATCCAGACGCATTACCTAAAATCGATGCTCTTGAACAACCACAAGTTGGTACTACTGAACAACCTGAACCAACATACGAAGAACCAGTTTTCATAACCCACTTGAACAATGTTGAATGCGTCGAAGGTGACAACGTTCATTTCGAGTGTAACGTAGAACCATCGAAGGATCCAACTATGAAGATCGAATGGTTCATGAATGGCAAACCATTACCAACTGGTGCCAGATTTAAATCAACATACGATTTTGGATACGTTGCACTCGATATTACTCATAGTTACGAAGAGGATTCAGGTATCGTAACAGTCAAAGCAACTAACTCTAAAGGAACAGCACAAACATCTGGAACACTTAAATGTACCAGCAAACAAAGTATTTACCTACAAACCCAACATCCGCAAGGTGAAGCTGGTCTGGAAAAAGTTAAAGAAGCTGAAGATGCATATCTATCCAAATACAGAAGACCCGATGCTAAACCTGAACACGAATACCCCAAACCAATTTGGACTGTACCACTTCAACCAGAATTCAAATTGGGTGAATCTGAACCTCTTCATCTGGAAGGTCAAGTCGAACCAAAAGATGATCCTGATCTGAAAATCGAATGGTATTTCAATGGTAAAGCATTAGAACATGGTGCCCGTTTCAAGATGACCAGCGATTTTGGATTTGTTACCTTGGATTTGACTGATGTTTATGATCGTGATTCTGGTATTTATACTTGCAAAGCTTATAACAAAGTTGGAGAAGCTTTTACATCTACTACGGTATATTGTTCAACTAAAGAAAGTGTTATCGAGAAATCTCAACATCCAAAAGGTAAGGAAGGTTTGGAAGCCATTCAAGATCTTGAAGAATCACTGAAACGACAGGAAGGTGGTTTACCAGAAAGCGAAGAAGGACACCCACCTGTTTTCACATCACAATTCGAGAACCTGACCAATCTATCTGAAGGTGAGATTGCTCATTTCGAAGCATCGTTAACACCAACTGGTGATCAGACAATGGTAGTCGAATGGTTCTATAATGGTAAACCATTGGAAGCTAGTCATCGTACTAGAACCGTTTATGCATTCGGAATGGTCGTGTTGGAAGTTCTGGGAACTAAAATTGAAGATTCTGGTACCTATTCTTGCAGAGCTACAAACAAATGGGGTAAAGCGGAAATTAGTGTTGAATTAGAATGCGTAGACAAATCTAAAGGACAAAAACCAAAATTCACGACCCATATACAATCCTTGGAAGGTTTGAAAGATGGACAATCTGTACACTTCGAATGCACTCTCATTCCTGTTGGTGATCCACATATGAAAGTTGAATGGTTCCACAATGGAAAACCACTCAGACATTCTTCACGTTTCAAGATGGTTTCTGATTTTGGATTCGTCGTAATGGACATTGCTGGAGTCATGTCACACGACACTGGTGAATACGTATGCAAAGCAAGCAACAAATATGGCGAGGATTATACGAAAGCAACCATCAAATGTTTCGGTAAAAGTGGAGTATACTTGGATTCATTGCAACCTGATTCTCTTGCTAGGATTCGTGAACTTGAAAGTTATGGTGGTGAACAACCAACAACACCGACAACACCTGTTGCCGAACCACCCAAATTTATTACCCAAATTGCTGATATCACGAAACTGGTTGAAGGACAATCTGCTCATTTCGAGGCCAGATTGACACCTGTTAATGATCCAGATTTGAAAGTGGAATGGTATTATAATGGCAAAAAACTACCGCATGGTCATCGTTACAGAACTTTCCATGATTTTGGTATAGTCATTCTTGACATACTTTATTGTTACGAAGAAAATTCCGGTGTATACGAATGTAGAGCATTTAACAAGTACGGCGAGGATACAACTAAGGCTACTTTGAAGTGTTTCTCAAAGTCCAGTCTTATCTTGGAATCTCAATTACCAAAAGGAATGGAAGGTGGTTTAGAAAAGATTCAAACCTTAGAAGATTCTATGATTCGTACCAAAGATGAGAAAACTGTTGAAGAACGTGGAAAAGCTCCAGTTTTCACTGTACCTTTAAGCAACATCGATGGTCTTCGTGAAGGTGAAAGTGCACACTTCGAAGCCAGACTTACACCTACCGATGATCCAAGATTAAAGGTATGTATTTGTTATTATCATGTAATTTGACCAACAATAAATAAAAACTATGTTTCTATAGGTTGAATGGTTCTGGTATGGTAAACCACTTCGAACAGGATCACGATTTCGAACATTCTGTGATTTCGGTTTCGTTATTTTGGAGATCTCACCAATTTACCCTGAAGATTCCGGAGAATATAGCTGTAGAGCAACTAACGATTACGGTGAAGCAGTAACCACGTGTACTATGAAATGTACAGGAAAACGTAGTATCATTCTTGAATCGCAATTACCAAAAGGTATGGAAAGTACGATCGATAAGATAGCCGAACTTGAAGGTCTTGGAAATGAACCAGGCCAACCAACTCCTGACGATGATACGGGAAAACCACCTGAATTCATCACAACTCCATCAGATTTAACACTTGCTGAGAATTCTTTAGCTCATTTCGAATGCAGACTCGTACCCATCAACGATTCCAGTATGAGAGTCGAATGGTTCCATAATGGAAAGCCTTTATTAGCTGGTACAAGAATAAAAACCATTCATGACTTTGGTTTTGTCATTTTGGAAGTAGCCAATTGTTATCAAAGAGATTCTGGTCTTTACACGTGCAAAGCAACTAATCGTCACGGGGAAGCAACCGTTTCCTGTAAATTGCAAATTCGTGGTCGTCAAGGTATCATCTTGGAACCACAATTACCAAGCAATTTCAAGACTGGTACTGAAAGTATTCAAAAATTAGAAGAATCCCTTTACAAGAAAGATGAAATCTTAGCTGAAGAAGAAACACCTAATCCACCAAGATTCATCGTTGAATTAAAAGACATCGAAGTTGAGGAATCTGGTCCAAGTCATTTCGATTGTAGAGTTGAACCAGTCGGTGATCCAACTATGCGTGTTGAATGGTACCACAATGGTAGACCATTTGCAACTGGTTCTCGCGTACATCAGATAAATGACTTTGGTTTTATTTCATTGGACATGTCTTACACATATGCTAGGGATAGTGGTGAATATGTTTGCAGGGCTACCAACAAATGGGGTACTGCAACAACTAAAGCAACCATAACATGTAAATGTAAGTATTTTCTAAACAAAAACAATTATCCTCATTTAACAAATTCTAGCAAATATTTAATCATTTATTCTTTTATTTGTAGCTAAGAAAACGATAGATTTCGATTCCCAATTACCATCAGGCATGAGTGGAGAAAAATTAAAGGAATTAGAACGTGGACCTATCAGTGAACCACCAGCTGAGGAAGCACCACGTGAACCACCACGTTTTATTACACAGATTCAATCAGCTACAGTTGACGAATCAGAACCAGTCAGGTTCGAATGTAGAGTGGAACCAAAAGATGATCCTAACTTACGCATTGTATGGTACAGAAATGGAAAGCTTATTCCTGCTGGTCACAGATACAGAACTGTCTACGATATGGGTTTCGTATCTATGGATATTTTGTACGTGTATCCTGAAGATTCTGGTGAATATGTTTGCAAAGCTATCAATGATCTTGGTGAAGATACTACAAAAGCATCCGTGTCTTGCAAGAGTATGTATTTTTTATTAAAAAAAAATATTGACACAAAGTTTAACAAAATTCATTCAATAAAATTGTATTTCAGAACTACCAAGTATCATTCTTCAAAATCAAGTACCAAAAGGCATGAAAAAATCAGAAGCTTTGATGCAAATGGAAGCAACTATTAAAAAGTACACCTCAGAAGTTCATTTGACTGAAGATGACCTTTACGATGCTGATAAAAAACAACCACCACGTTTCGTCACTCAAATACAGGATCAAGTTGAACTAGTTGAAATGAACAGTACCAAATTTGAATGTCAATTGGCACCAGTTGGTGATCCAAATATGAAAGTTGAATGGTTCTTCAATGGCAAACCACTGCCCCATAAAAACAGATTTACACCAATCTACGATTTTGGTTATGTTGCTATGAACTTTGGTTGGGTTTATCCTGAGGATAGTGGAGAGTATCTTTGCAGGGCTACCAATTTATACGGAATGGATGAAACTAGAGCTGTTATTCGTACAGCAGGAAAACCTGGTATCATTTATGAGTCCCAATTACCAAAGGGTATGAAGAGTATTGAAAAAATTCGTGAAATGGAAGCAGCATGGCAGATGTATGATAATTAACAACAACATATTATTGTTCAATTGTAATAATAAATATTAATAAATGTTTTTATCTCTTTACAGTGTTCCTGAAGATGAAGGTGAAGAAGAAAAGGTACGTGCACCACCGGTATTCGTTAGCAAACCAGAACCAGTTACTGTTGAGGAAGGTGACTGTTCAAGATTTTGTTGCCGAGTTACGGGTCACCCAAGACCACGTGTTATGTGGATTCTTAATGGACACACTGTTGTTAATGTATGTGGTTTTATTTAATTATATTATACAATTAATTAGATTATCATTGTTTAAATAAATATCGTGTTACAGGGATCACGTTACAAGTTGACATATGACGGCATGTATCATCTTGATATTCCAAAAACCAGACAATATGATCACGGAAAGGTTGAAGTAATCGCAAGAAGTTCAGTTGGGGAATCACGTACGGAAACATTTTTAACTGTTAAACAACGTAGCGACGATTATCGTGGTGTATTGAAGAATTCACCGAGACGTAAGTTTGAATTTAACGATCATATCAAAACACTATTATACAAATATGCTAATTTGTATCAATATTATAATTGGTTACTATATATATGATAATTATTAGAAATATTGATACAAAGAATGCAAATAGCAAAACTGAACAAAATATACTTAAGCAGAACCGAAAACAATGATACAATATGGCACATGATCAATATAATGATAGCAACAAATGAGAAGGGGGAGGTGTTACAAATGCGTACAATCGCAAAACACAGTACATAAAAATATATAACGATACGACACATTATAAGATATATATATATATACATTAATCAATTAAGAAACAAATGACACTTGAGACAATTTGAACACAATCAAACCTATTGCAAATCTATTTATCCTAATTCCTATTAATTCCAATTGATCAATCCAATTGACCTTGTCCTAATAATCTGGCAAATCATCCCTACGAGTACCTTCGCTACCAGCTTCTTCTTCTTCTTCTAATTCTTTGGGATTTTGGAAATCGGACGAGAATTTCGAGCAATGTGACAGACCTTCCTTCGAATTACGCATTACGCGATGGATTAACGCAATTCAGGTATGACAAGTCATGGATAGAGCATTTATTTATTTAATTTATTTATTTATTTATACCACCAATATTACAACCACCACCACTACTACTACTTTATCATGTTTCACGAATGTTACAAAAATTAATTTATTAACACGGAGAAAAATATTCGGAATATTTTTCTTCGAGTGTTAATATTATCAATTAATTTTTTTATTATTATTATTATTGTTATTGTTGTTGTTTTTGCACTGGAGAAAACGGGTTTTTTGTGGCTCTAATTGTTGACTTTTTATTTCATATTTTGTTATTTATTGTTGAACGTAAATCACGTTTTTTGTTTTTTCGATCGTGGATAAAAAATTGATATTATTTAAAAAAATATTTTTGTTAATAAATAAATGAATTTTAGATTGTAAAAGTAGAGCTCCGTATTCCTCAGTGTTTATTTTTGTGTGTCCTATTTTATTTGATCGTTTTATTTAATTTTGATTTTTTTAGTTTTTTTAGTTGATTATGCTAGAGAATTGTATTTTCTGTGTTTTTTTCTTTCTTTGGGTTAGTTTTTAATTTGTTGAAATTAAATCCTCGTTGGTCCATATCCTTAAAAATCAATCTGATGATTATTATGTGTCTCAAATAAAATGTGTTCAATGAATGGTGAATATGAATTATGTATATATGAAGTATTATGAAAAAAAAAAATATAAAAATGCATTTTTTCAATTTCCATGTCTTTGGAAAATCAAGGTAAACCTTCAAACGTGACGAAGGGTACAGAATGATTGATCTAAGTGTACCATTGTTACTGACGTTATTAAAAAAAAAAAAAAATGCAAAATAGAATGAAAATAGAAAAAAAAAGGTTTGGGTACAAATCGTGTATTAACACCACGTATTCTAACTTGAATGAAATTTTTTTTTTTTTTGAATGTCCACCTCTGTCTCCGATTATTTTGCCGAATTTTGAAATAATTGTTTCCTGGGATTAAGTTGGAAAGATAGAAATGTGTTGCATCGCCAATGAAGTACTGTGTCATTATTTATTATTCCAATTTGAAAAACCTTTTCGTAGATATTTGCAACGAATCAACGAACAAAATTGTCAAATTATATTTAAAAAAAAAAAATTAACTAAATAAACCTTTAACTTATGTTAACTGTAAACCTTAAGTTAAACCTCTTAACTTATGTTTTTATAGTATTTTATAATTGGATCAAAAGTTTTATCAATGATCAAAGTTTTAGGTTTTCAAATCAATTGTCAAATTGTGTTTACAAAAAAAAAATTAACTAAACAAACCTTAAACATAAAATTGGATCAAAAGTTTTATCAAAGTTTTAGGTTTTCAAACTTCAAAAAAAATATCGTTGTAACTACGAAATTTATAAAATCGAATTTTTGTTTTTTCCTCAACTGGACGAAGATAAAAAAAAAATAAATCGACATACGTTGTTGTTTAAAAAAAAAAGAATTGACATGTGGGGGAAAAATGTACGAACGAATGGTCTAATCAATTTGTTCCCTAGCTTGGTACGATTATGGACTAACCCAATACCAATCGGAGAGACAGAACACAGAACTCGAGCGTGTATTTGAAGAACGTCATCAAACAGTATCACAAGGTGTTGAAATTGCTACGGAACATCTTGGACAAAAGGTATTCAAAGAACCTGAAGCAGAATGGCAAAAATCTGTTAAGAGTAAAAAGAATGAGGATTATTATCAAAAATTGATGAGCTTGGAAGAGGAACAAGTATTAAAGGAATCCAGATTGAGGGAATCTTCTCATCAATTTGCAATACCTGGTGACAAAGTTGTATCAAGTTCTATGGCCAAAGGAATGGCACAAAAATATCAAGAAAGTCTGTAAGTAATTTTTTTTATTATTTATATTTATATGTGATAAGATATATATATATATATATATTAGGGTGGGTCGAAAAAATTACTTTTTTTTTTCTCAAAAATTTTCTAATATATATTTATGTGTATTTAATAATTATATATTATTATAAATATATAATAAATATAAAAATAACAATATTAAATATAATTATTATAAATATTTAATTTATATATATAATTTTATTAAAAATTTAATATACCTAATCGCAATTAAATAAATTCCAGTGAAACGCAGGATATAAAAGAAACAACTCAACCACCACCACAAGCAAAATTCGTGAAGAAACCACACGTAACCGAGGTAGATATCGATACTGAACGTGTAAAGGGTACTGGAAGGTACCCACCAGAACCTTCAGAATCACTGGTTCATGGACGAGAAGTTCACGTTGCTAAACAAAAACAAACTCAGAAAGAAGTAAAAGGTGATTTAGAAATAACCAGAAAAATCACAGCAACTGAGACAACTGAAGTTGAACACAAAGCTCAAACTCAAGAACGTGTTGTTCAAGGACAAGTGAAACCTGCTAAACCTCCAGTTTTTACGAAAAAGATTCAACCATGTAGAGCATTCGAACAGGAACAAGCAAGATTTGAGGTTGAATTTGACGGTGATCCATTGCCAACCATTAAATGGTACAGGGAAGATTTTCCAATTAAAAATTCACCTGATTTACAAATTTATACGTTCAGTACGAAATCTGTATTGATCATTCGTCAAGTATTTATGGAAGACTCAGCAGTTTTTTCAGTCATTGCTGAAAATCGCGGAGGTAAAGCTAAATGCAGTGCCAATTTGGTTGTTGAGGAACGTAGAAGACAACCTGGTAGAGGTGGAATCGTACCACCCAGTTTTCTATCAACAATTCAAAATACTTCAGTGACAACTGGACAATTGGCAAGATTCGATGCCAAAGTTACTGGTACCAAACCTTTGGATGTTTATTGGTTGAAGGTAATATTATCATTTACCTAATTGCAACAAATTGTTTTTTATTCTTTCAAACCCAACATACAATTGTTTATTTTTTAGAATGGTAAAAAAGTGACGGCTGATATTCGTTATAAGACATTAGAAGAAGATAACATTTACACCTTGCTCATTTTGGAAACGATACCAGACGATTCGGGTAAATACGAATGCGTTGCAATAAACAGTGCAGGTGAAGCCCGTTGTGATGCTGAATGTACAGTTCGAGGACCACAATCACCAACAAAAACGGCCAAACCAACAACACCTGGTGTTGAAAAAGCACCTGCTGTATTAGAACCACTCAAAGATCAAACAATCAAGGAAGGAACTTCAGTTGCATTTGCATGCAAAATTACAGGAAAACCTGTACCCACTGTTCAGTGGAAAAAAGGTGACAAGGTAAATACGAATAAATCATTTTATCATGAGGAAAAGAGAATAGAATACAATTTATTAATGTAATAATTGTTAATAAAATTTATAGGTAATCAAACCGTCGAAATATTTCCAAATGCAAAAGGATGGTGATCTTTGTACTTTGAAAATAACTGAAGCATTTCCTGAAGATGAAGGTGTTTACAAATGCATCGCCAAAAATCCTGCCGGTGATGTTACAACATCTGCAAATTTGAGAGTTCTTGGTAAGGATCAACAGAAAGAAAAAACAAATCTACAAATTGTAACAAATTTTTCATAAATTTATTTTATATAATTTAGCTCCGGATGCGGCTGACATTTTGCCTAAATTATCACCGTTAAAAGATCAAATAGTTTCTGAGGGACAACCGGCCCAATTTAAAACTCAGGTTACACCAGCTAAACCAAAGCCAACGATTCAATGGTACAGGGAAGGTGCCCTTATACCTCAGTCGCCCGATTTTCAGGTACAAAATTCATTTGACACGTTTATATTTGAACGAATCATGATTTGAATGAATGATTTCTTATAAAAACGTTCTCGTTGATTAAAATTTCAGATGATTCATGAGGGCAACAACGCTGTATTGTTAATCGCAACAACTTACGAAGAGGACACTGGTACGTTCAGTTGCAGAGCTACAACCTCGGCCGGTACCGTAGAAACATCTGCGAAACTCATCGTCAAAAGTAAGAATTAAAAAAAAAAAAGAAAAAAAACATCCGTAAAAAATTCAATTGCTAACACGAAACGCGATTGGATTGATCCAGTAAAAAAAAAAAGAAACTCAAAAAAGAAAAGAACAAAAACACGTACCTTTAGATAACTGCCAAAAGAAATTCGTATCACAGATGAGACAATAAAAATGTTTTCAAGGTCATAACTAAAAACACGTATTATCAATTTCGTAATTTTCAGATATTATTTTTTGTTGATTCATGTTTATTATTGTTTTAAATGTTATACGAATTTCTATGTGTGCCCATGGGGGTCCATCGATGGTAAACCCATGAGTATATTTATTTTTTTTTCGCTTTTTATTGCGTTACTCTAAAAAACCATATAACCCATTTTCCTATTTTTTTTCTTTTTTTTGTTTTGAAAAAACCCTTTTTCCAACGAGTCTATTAAAAAAAAAAAAATTTAACTTTAATCCCTTAATTAAAAAAAAAAACATTTTTTAATTGCACAATACGGGGAGTTCATCGTACTAACTCGTCGTGGTTTTTTTGTTTTTTTTAAAAGTAGACGAGCGAGTGAAACGAGCTGCTTTTTAATTATGTTTGATGACGTTGAATGCTTTTTTTTCAACGGAAAAGAAAGAAATTTTATTTTTTATTTTTCTCTCTATCTGTCTTTCTCTTTTTTTAAAGTTCGACTACTAATCGAAAAGAGAAGGAAAAACAATTAATCATTTTTACGAAGGTGGTGCTTAAAAAAAAAAAAAAAGAAAAATAAGATAAGGGGTTGGTTGTGACGAAAAGTGCAATGCAAAAAGGATTGTTGCAAGGATTGAAGGATTGTTAGCATGTTCCAAATATTTGGACATACTTTGTTTTCTTTTTTATTTTTTTAATTTTGACATGACGAACGTAGGGTGAAAAAAAAAACAACGAACAAGGTATTAATCAACGAGCGAGACATCACTCTACGTACGTTTTTATGTTAGATATTAAAAAAAAAAAGAAAATAATTGAATTGAAAAAAAAAAACGTGTACAGGTGGTGCTTCGATAGAATTATAAATAATAATTAATAATAATAATTAATATACTTTGTGTAAATAAGAAAAATGATAAATTAAGAGAGAAAGATGAAAGGGAATTTGAAAGTTAAGGAACAACAAATGAAAAGAAAAATATATATTAATGTTTAAGTTAAAAAAAAACAATGAAGAACAAAAGCCTCGACGAATAACAACAACAACAAAACAATAACAATGATTATTAATTTATAAATATATAAACTCGTTTACTCGTTCAATTGTACTCATCTTGTTTAAATGTTTCATAATTAGAGAACACAAATATAATGTTAGAAAATAATATATATATTCATTAATTAATAGTAATTAGTCAAATAGAATATGTGTAACATTGTTTTTTTTTCTTCGTGTGAAAAGAAAATGAGGAGGAGTGGGGGTGTCTAAAATCCTTCCTTCAACTGCAACAAATTCGCGTGACGATAAAAAAATATTACACGACACGAAAAAAAAAAGAAAAAAAAACACACCTAACATATATAAAACAAACAATCAAAAAAAAAAAAAAAGAAATAATTTTTGAAGCGTTTCTTGCACTTATATTACTCCGTTGTCAAAGTTTAATCAGCTGCTAATAATCATTTAACACAACCGATCGATTTATTTATTTTATTGTACAATGGAACACACAAAAAATATCTAAATAAAAATTAATTAAAAATACGTCTACAAACGTCTGATTTGTTATCGATTCGTCGACTAGATCAAATATATATATATATATATATAGATTTAATTAAGAAAATTAATACTCGAGAAATTAAGAGAATGATATGGGTGCATTTTAAATTACAGTATTAAAAAAAAAAAAACAAATTAAAGTAAAGATAAAGTAAAGTAAAGATATAATGATCAAAGAAAACCGACAAAACGAATTATTCTTCTTCATCTTCTTTTTATTTTTCATTTTTTATTTTCTCAAACGTCATTTTTATCGTTTGCACGAAATATAACGTGACTCGAGGAGGAAGGTGAAAAGAAAAAAAAAGCAGGCGTGTTACACGAACCGTAATATATAGAATATAGAATATAAATATAAAAAAAGAAGAGTGTAGGAGGTGGGGGTGAAGAGTGAAGTGATGGTAATAGAACAGAAACACATAAATTTACTTCTAGTATAATTACTGTTTATCTTATCCTACGAAGAAGCAAAAAAAAAACCAAGATGGAAACAAAATTGATCTTCAACGTAGAGTTTCACGGATAGACAAACCCCCTCTTTATGCGTGCGTAGAAAAATATTTTTATAATACCATATCATTATCATTATCATCATAATTAATAAATTCCTAAGTATTGAATTAGTTATGGTGAAAATGAACGACCATATTGAAACCTTTTTACGTTTGACACGAGAGAATCTTAACATTCCGAGTATCAGCTTTCCAACAACCCGACCCTACGGACTCCGGACTCTTACCACCACCCTCCTCCTCCTCCTCTCAGCTATTCCCCTCACCACCCACCCCTCTCAAGCAGCTGTTTTAACGAGCGTGAAGAGAGTAGCTCGTCTTAAAGATATAAACGTATATATTTTCCTCGGTAGTTTCTGCTCTTTCGGTCGTTTCAAAAGTAGAGGCAAGCAACCAAGCAAGCAAGCGGACACGTCAGTGCCGTGTGCACACCCTCCTAGGCCCTCTTCTTCGGCTATTTCTGACCACGTGACGTGTATTACATTACCTAACTATATTTGGCCACCACCCGGTAACGAAACTCTACGAATACTCTGTAAATTCATGTGCTGAGTTACCACTACTCAAATTTATATATATTTGTAGACACAGACACATATGTAGACATATATATTCGTGAGACTGCTTTTTCTCTCTAACGTATCTTTAAACTCATTATTATTACCCCCTTCTCGTCAGTTGGCTAAGTCTAACTTATTATGATAGTCATTTCAAAATTGTATTTCTTTATTTGTTTTTAGAAATTTATATACATAAATTATTATATATTTTTTAATTATTATATTATTATATTTATATATTTTAGAAAAGAAATTCTTCTATGGTTATGTAATATTATTAACGGTTTATTATAATATAATATATGGAGTTTGAATTTATAGTTGCATATGAGTAATACGTTAGTTTTGTTTTTTGCATTTCAATGGTATGGAATATTAAACCGGATATAACGCATTTCCATGTACCGTGAATGGAACGATGAAGTTATTCTATTTCTATCTTTTTTTTTCTTCGAATACCTTCGTGCAAACATAACGTTCAATCTTTTATTAATAATAAGAAGAAGATGAAGATGAAAAATCATTAAATTGTTTATTTCTCCCTCAATAGAATATTGAATACGAAAAATATCAAATTTATATATATATATATATATTACAAAAGAAAACTGTAAATATTTTCGGAAGAACGAAAAGCGAGCCAAAGAATTACGAATAGAAGAAATATTGGAAACTCTTCTACCCCTACCCACCAGCAATACCACCACCAACACTACTACTAGCACCCCCGATGACGATAACGACCTTGAAATCGGCAACCACCTGGAAAACTAAATACGTGCCAAGAATCAACGTTGATTCGGCAACCAACAAAAAAATGAGAGAAAAAACAAGTACGATGAATCATTTAACATCGAAGATTAGGAGAATTGGGGTAGAGGTAAGGGGGGAGGAACCCCCTTAATTTTATTCGTCTTTTGGTTTGGTGGTGATTCTTCGATCTTCTAACATCATCCATTCCATCGTCGAGGAACGCAAAATGGGGAAAGGGGGGAGGTGCAGGTCGACGAAGCAGAAGACTATTTCGGCACCAAGCAGCAGCTGTCAGTGAATCAACTTAGGCCAAAAATAATACTCGGAGAGTACCCGCCGCGTTTCGTGTCAGCGTACTCTTAGTCGTCGCATGAGGGAAAGAAAATTTATTTCTGGTTAGACATTAGTTTTATGTTCTCAAACTTACTTCAGGAATACCACCACCACCTCCTATTATTCATTTATTACTAACTTTGAGGAGGTCCTTTTTTAGGTTGTAATAATAATAATAATAGAGACTTATATATATATATATATATATATATATTTAACTTTAATTTTTAATTAACTGGCTTAAGTTCATTATAATATTTTATTTAATTAAATATCAATATAAATTATATTATTGCACTATATGCGAAATATTAAATATAAAATAATTATATATAAATATATGTTTAATATAAAATTAAATTCATTATTATAAATTATAATTTCCAAGTTAAATTAATTTAATTATATATTACATCACGAATTTTATTTTATATTGCAATAATAACATCTACGAATTAAAAATTAATACACACACAAAAATTATTACATGAAAATAATTAAAAAAAAATAAGTTTCGGTCATTTTATTGAATTGTTATTAACAATTGTTATTTTCAAATTCAATCTTAATGAATATTATTAAATATATAATAAAAAAACAAACAAATGATTGTAAAAACAGAACTCGCTATAAAGAAAAGACATTTATTATTAAGAATAACAATTTAAAAATAATAACTATTATTATTATTAGAACATAATGGGGGAGTAAAAAACATGACATGTAAATTCCTAAAAAAGAAAATGAGAAACAAATTTGTAGTGTAGGTGTTTGTTTGAGAGACACAACAGGAAAGATAAGAGGGTCAGGGTTGCAACGACTGCCACTGCTAGACGTTGTGGACTTCTTACTTTATTTTTATTTTTATACATCATGACCAATCCAATTCGCGTAAATGATTCATCCAATAAATATAATGTGTCACACGTTAAATTGTGGTAGATCACTGGCACCCCTTCCCCCGAATTCTACAAACGGGACAGACTTTCTTTAAAAACTCGTTCACGAATCTGTACATTGATTTTCTTATCTCATTATCAAAGTAATATTTTGATAATGAATGAAATATTCTTTTTATTTTCTACATATATCTACGTTTATATAATAATAATTATTATTATTAATATAGAATTCTATGATATTATTTCGTAGCACCACTTTGTACAATTGAAATTTGTTTAAACAATCTTATGCACCATCTTCGTAACTGTTTATCACAAATTAAAAACAGTCGTGTCCAGTTCAAATACGGCCGCACTTCAATTGAACCTAACACGATCAAAAAATGTATTATAATTTAAATAAAAAAAAAAAAAATACATGTGTGTGGTTCAATCGAAGGCGGCCTGAAACTGTCAAAGAAAACCACAAAAAAACTGTCACAACTTGTCTCACACGAGTCTCTTTAAAAACACACAAATACAAACACTGTACTAAAGTAAACACCACACTACACTAAACACAATGTTGACACTTTTAACTAAACACGAATTTGAACTACACACCTAACTAAAAAAAGAAGTAAAAAAAATTGATAATAATTCCAAAAAAATATTACATGATATAAAAACCATAACTCAAAAAAATTCCATTAAATCCCATTTTTCATGGGACTCATCTTCCAACGAAGTTTACGAGAGAGTGGTTTCCTTTAGAGCTTGTTCATCTCCGGCTTCCAGTAGATGACTATTAAGGGTAGCCTAATGTCGGAGTCAGAAGTGTGTGTGTGTGTAAGACGTCATAGTAAGTCGTCTCGAGTCATCCCCACTCCACTACTATTTCTTAGAGATTTGTCCAACCTTCGGATCATGCAAACATCGTTTATGCATCATGACCAAACCCTCTCCCCTCTTCTTACCACCACCACCACTACTACTTTCACTCTTTGGTTCACCTTTTATTTCTCTCTTCTCAGTTTATTACTAAGGAAATGTAATATACTCCATTGTTTCTAAGTTACACACCTTTTATTTGTTTCTTACCTTTACTATTTGGTTTATTTTACCTTTACATCCCACCCTACTCCCTTTCCCCTACTCCAAACTACATTTTCTTATAGTTGGAACGTTGTCTCATCTTTTACCTATAGATCAATCGTAGTACGATCCCAAAAACATATTTTGAATAATTTCAATTAAAATTTGTTTTGTTCGAAGGTCGACACATTTGGCGATTTGCCCTTTTATTTTATTCCCCCCCCCCTCCTTACTATTACGTACTTAATTTGGCTCGCAATAACGAATTACCCAGTGCTCAAAATTACAATGCACGACTACTTTTCGATTTACTCCCTTACCCCCCACACCCAGACCCACACTCCCACCCTTCCCGGTTTTTTTCTTTTTTTCCGATCTTAATCTTCAAGTTATAATTTGAGAACACGACGTTACGTTACTGACAAAATATTATTTTAGTATTGCGAAATGACTTTATCTTTGACAGAAATATTTCATTACTATAGTTTGTTTTGTTTTTAAGTTTGTTGTTGTTGTTATTTAAATAATAAAGCTTCACAAGTGCATCATAATTGAAATAAATGTTAGATAATTTATATTTACATTAATCCTTATGATTTTAATATTATTTTTTTTTTTTGAAAATGTATCTCAAAGTGTTTAAATATTCGAGTAAGTTAACCTAGAAAACATAAATTGATTATAATATTTCAGAAAGAAAAGGGACTTATTACAAAGTTCCAGCAGAATCGGGGCCAGGTTATAAAACTGATGATAAATTTGTGGATGGTATTGAGAAAGGAAAGGATGTGATATTAGAACCATTGTTATTGGATGAGGAAGGTTTACCGATCGATGATAAACCTCTTCAACCAGGTGATGAAACTTTACCTTGGCGAATAGGTCGTGTTAGTCATAGACCTAGAATTACAAGTGTAACACCATGGAGAAAAGATAAACCAAAATCTAAGGATTCGTCATTGGACAAATTGCAATTGGTTGTTGAAGGTGAAAAGAAATCTTGGATAGAAGAACAAATCGTTTTGAAAAAGACTGAACATAGGATACGAGATATTCCTAAAGAAACTTTGGAACAAGTTGAATTGAAACCTACGAAAATTGATAGAAAAGAAATCAGAAGACCCAGTCAAGAAACTGTGACGTTGAAACCAGTAATCAAAGATGTTACATTGGGAAGGAAAGAAGTGTCTGAAGTTTCACGGATTGAAGAAACTTCTAAAGAATTGTATGTTGAAGAAGAAGATGATAAACGTTTACAATTGTCACGTAAAGTGGATGAAACGATTACCAAAAAGGATGAAGATCAAAAACCCAAAAAAAGTGAACCCACTAAGAAAACAATTTCGAAGAAAGATGAAAGAATCGAACACTTTGAAGAACAAGAAGATACGACACTTTTGGATTTATCTAAGATATCTGAAGAAAAGAAGATAACAAAAGACAAAATAATTTCTGAACAAGTAGAACAACCTAAACCTTGGACTGAAGAAAAAGTAACGTTGAAGAGAGCTAAAGTTGAAAGAAAAGAATTGGTCAAAGAAAAACCAGAAACTATTAAATTAAAACCATCGAGACCCGTCAAAACTGAAATACAAAAACCAGAACTTGAAGAAGTTGATCTTAAACCGGTTATTAAGGAATCAAAAGAAGAATATCGTGACGATGAAAGTACCAAATTAATTCGTGTTTCTAATGAGGTCAAAGAAACGAGAAAATTATCGAAGGAAGATATTGAAATGAAACCTTGGACTGAAGAAAAAATTACATTGAAAAAATCTAAACCTGATAAAAAAGAAATTCCCAAAGAAGAAATTGAAAATGTTGATTTGAAAGCAGTGAAAAAAGAAACGATCGAAAAGAAATTAACACAGAAAGATGAAACTGAACAATATGTCGAACAAGATGATGGAACAAGGTTGACTGTAACTTCAGAAACTGACGTGAGTGTTAAAACTGAATCAAAATTGAAAAAGATCGAAAAGAAACCACAAGTAACCGAGACAAAACCTTGGACTGAAGAAATGGTGACGCTGAAGAAAACAAAAGTTGATAAAAAAGAAATAACGAAAGAAACATTAGAAGAAGTTGAATTAAAATCTGTCAAACCTGAACAAAAGAAAGAAACAACTAAGAAAACGACCATAGAATTACAAAAAGTTGATGACAAAATTGTAGAAAGTATCGAAGAACGGGAAGATAGTAAATTGTTGAAGATTCAAAAAGATACCACGATAGATGAACGTAAAACTGAAGAAGGTATACCATGGTTGAGAGGACTGAAAAAACCAAAAGACAAAGTACCATTTGAAGAAAAAGAAGATACAACTACTCTAAAAATTGAAAGAGAGGAAGAAGAAACTAAAAAGAAGGAAATCACAGAAGAAAAACCAGTACCCTGGTTAAGGGGACTTAAGAAACCAAAAGACAAAATACCATTTGAGGAAAAAGAAGATGAAACAACTCTAAAAATTGACAGAGAAGAAGAAACTGAAAAGAAAGAAGTAAAAGAAGAAACACCTGTACCTTGGATAAGGGGAAAGAGAAAAGTAGAAAAAGCACCATACGTTGAGGAAGAAGATGTTACCAAATTAACAACTGATAAAGTTGAAGAGATTGAACAGGTTCAAAAGGAAACAGCTGTACCATGGATAAGGGGAAAGAAGAAGACAGAAAAAGCACCATACGTTGAGGAAGAAGATGTTACCAAATTAACAACTGATAAAGTTGAAGAAACTGAACAGGTTCAAAAGGAAACAGCTGTTCCATGGATTCGAGGTAAAAAACCAAAGAAAGAATTGGCACCTGAAGAAAAAGAAAAGGAAGAGGAAGCACCTAAGGAGGAAGTTTCTACACTTCCTTGGTTACGTGAGAAAAAATTAAAAAAGCCATTGGAAAAACCATTGGATGAAGAAAAGGAAAAGCCACGTGAGAAAACAGAAATTACGATGTCAATTAAACCTGAGGAAAAACCATTAGAGAAGGAAACACCTGTTGAAACTTCAACTGCACCTTGGCGTCGTGAAATGAAAAAGAAACCAACGCAAGAAGCACCAAAACCTGAGGTGGTACCTATGAAAGTGGAAGAAACGAAACAACCAATTAAAAAAGATGAACAGGTTATCGAAGATTTTAGGAGGTTAAGTTTGAAACCAACTAGACGTAGTAGCAGACAATTGGAACAGGAAGAAATGGAAAGACCAACGCTTAAACCTGTTGTACCAACTCCACAAGAACAATTGAAACCAGAGAGTACGGAAAAATTGGTAAATGGAGAAAAGGTTGAAGAAAAAACAGAGCTTCCTTGGAGACGTGGAAGAAAACAATCAGCAAAACCAATACCAGAAAGTACAACTGAAATCATTCCTAAAGAAAAAGAAACACCTAAAGAAACGGAAGTTACACCTAAAGTTACGTTGATTAAGAAACAGAAAGTACCGGAAGAAGCAAAACCAGAGGAAGTGATGTTGAAACCAGTTACGAGAATACCAAAAGAAGAAGAAATGAAAGAGGAGATAACTTTGAAACCAATTGTCAGAAGGAAGCCTGAAGAAGAGGCACCAGAAGAGGTGAAATTGAAACCTGTTAGGAAGGAAACGGTGCCCGAAGAAGTTAAATCAGAGGAAGTAACACTGAAACCAGTAGTCAAGAAGAAGCCTGAAGAAGCGCCAGAGGAAATTAAATTGAAGCCTGTAAGAAAAGAAAAAATTATCCCAGAGGAAGTTAAACCGGAAGAGGTTACGTTGAAACCAATCAAGCGACTTCCTAAAGAAGAAGAAACTAAGGAGAAAATAACATTGAAACCTGTTAAACGATTACCTAAAGAGGAAGAAACTAAAGAAGAAGTTAAACTCAAGCCTTTTAGAAAGGAAAAACCAGAAGAAGAAGCACCAGAGGAGGTTAAGCTTAAGCCTATAAGAAAAGAAAAGGCTCCAGAAGAGATTCAACCTGAGGAAGTGCAATTAAAACCAGTCAAACGTCTTCCGAAAGAAGAACAAATCAAAGAAGAAGTTAAACTCAAGCCTGTTCGTAAGGAAAAGCCAGAAGAAGCGGCAGAGGAAGTTAAATTGAAGCCTGTAAGAAAAGAAAAAGTTGTTCTAGAAGAGATTCAACCAGAGGAAGTGCAGTTGAAACCGGTTAAACGTCTTCTTAAAGAAGAAGAAACTAAGGAGGAAGTCAAACTTAAACCTGTTAGAAAAGAAAAGCCAGAAGAAGAAGCACCAGAAGAAGTTAAATTAAAACCCGTAAGAAAAGAAAAAGTTCCAGAAGAGGTAAAACCTGAGGAAGTGCAGTTGAAACCGGTTAAACGTCTTCCTAAAGAAGAAGAAACTAAGGAGGAAGTCAAACTTAAACCTGTTAGAAAAGAAAAGCCAGAAGAAGAAGCACCAGAGGAGGTAAAACTAAAACCTGTTAGAAAAGAAAAAGTTCCAGAAGAGATAAAACCTGAGGAAGTGCAGTTGAAACCGGTTAAACGTCTTCCTAAAGAAGAAGAAACTAAGGAGGAAGTCAAACTTAAACCTGTTAGAAAGCAAAAACCAGAAGAAGAAGCTCCAGAGGAGGTTAAACTTAAACCTGTCAGAAAGGAAAAGGTTCTTGAAGAAATTCAACCTGAAGAAGTTCACTTGAAGCCAGTCAAACGACTTCCTAAAGAAGAAGCAACTAAGGAGGAAGTCAAACTTAAACCTGTTAGAAAAGAAAAACCAGAAGAGGAAGCTCCAGAAGAGGAAGCTCCAGAAGAGGTTAAATTGAAACCTGTTAGAAAAGAAAAGGTTCCAGAAGTGGTACAACCTGAGGAGGTGCAGTTGAAACCACTTAAACGACTACCCAAGGAAGAAGAAACTAAAGAGGAAATAACATTGAAACCTGTTAAACGATTACCTAAAGAGGAAGAAACTAAAGAAGAAGTTAAACTCAAGCCTGTTAGAAAGGAAAAACCAGAAGAAGAAGCACCAGAGGAGGTTAAGCTTAAGCCAGTGAGGAAGGAAAAAGTTCCAGAAGACATCCAACCCGAGGAAATTACACTAAAACCAGTGAAACGACTTCCCAAAGAAGAGGAAACCAAAGAGGAAGTTAAACTTAAGCCTGTTAGAAAGGAAAAACCAGAAGAGAAAGCACCAGAAGAAGTGAAGTTGAAACCTGTTAGAAAGGAAAAAGTTCCGGAAGAGATACAACCTGAAGAGGTGCAGTTGAAATCAGTCAAACGACTTCCTAAAGAAGAAGAAACTAAGGAAGAGGTTAAACTCAAACCTGTTAGAAAAGAAAAGCCTGAAGAAGAAGCACCAGAGGAAGTTAAATTAAAACCCGTAAGAAAAGAAAAAGTTCCAGAAGAGATTAAAGCGGAAGAGGTTACGTTAAAACCATTAAAGCGTCTTCCAAAAGAAGAGGAAACTAAGGAGGAAGTCAAACTTAAACCTGTTAGAAAAGAAAAGCCAGAAGAAGCACCAGAGGAGGTTAAACTTAAACCTGTTAGAAAAGAAAAGGTTCCTGAAGAGGTTCAACCAGAAGAAGTACACTTAAAACCAGTTAAACGACTTCCTAAAGAAGAGGAAACTAAGGAGGAAGTCAAACTTAAACCTGTTAGAAAAGAAAAACCAGAAGAGGAAGCTCCAGAAGAGATTAAATTAAAACCTGTTAGAAAAGAAAAGGTTCCAGAAGAGGTACAACCTGAGGAGGTGCAGTTGAAACCTGTCAAACGTCTTCCTAAAGAAGAAGAAACCAAAGAGGAAGTCAAACTCAAGCCTGTTAGAAAAGAAAAACCAGAAGAGGAGGCTCCAGAGGAAATTAAACTCAAGCCTGTTAGGAAAGAAAAAATTCCGGAAGAAATTCAACCAGAAGAAGTGCATTTAAAACCAGTTAAACGACTTCCTAAAGAAGAAGAAACCAAAGAGGAAGTCAAACTCAAGCCTGTTAGAAAAGAAAAACCAGAAGAGGAAGTTCCAGAGAAAATTAAACTCATGCCTGTTAGGAAAGAAAAAATTCCGGAAGAAATTCAACCAGAAGAAGTGCATTTGAAACCAATTAAACGACTTCCTAAAGAAGAAGAAACGAAAGAGGAAATAACATTGAAGCCAGTTTTCAGAAAGAAACCTGAAGAAGAGGCTCCAGAGGAAGTTAAGCTCAAGCCAGTTAGAAAAGAAAAAATTCCTGAAGAAATAAAACCAGAAGAAGTGCATTTGAAACCAGTCAAACGACTTCCTAAAGAAGAAGAAACCAAAGAAGAAATAACCCTAAAACCTGTAGAAAAGAAAAAACCAGAAGAAAAAGTTCCAGAAGAAGTCAAACTGAAACCAGTCATAAAAGAAAAGAAACCCGACGAAGCCAAATCTGAAGAACTTGTTCCCGTTTCGGTTATTGAAAAACCGGAAGAAGAGAAACCAGAAGAAGTTAGTATATTCCCATGGCGACGTGGTAGAAAAACGAAAAAGGTTGTTGATTTTAAGGAAGAGGTTACTGTAGTTCCAATCGATCAAGAACAGGTGATAACAGAAATACATGAAGAAGTCAAAGAAATATCCGAAATAATTGTACGTCCTAAAGAAATTGAAGAGACTACAATAATTTCTGAAAAAGAAATTCTAATCCCTGAGAAAATAACCGAAAAAACAGAAGAAAAGATTGAACCAATTACCGAAATAAAACAAATGCCATGGCGGAAAGCTAGAAAACCTGAGAAAAAAATCGAAGAAATTGTACAAGTTGAACAAGTACAGGAAGATAAAAAAGTTGACGAAGAAATCGTAGAAAAGACTGAAGTATCGTGGAGAAAAGTTCGAAGAAAACCCGAAGAAAAACCTTTAGAAATTACTGAAAAGGTTATCGAAATTGTAGAAGAAGTTACAGAAAAACCTGAAGAACCTAAACCAATTCCAAAAGTTGTAGAAAAGGTTGAAGTAATAGAGGAAGTAACAGTTGAAACTGTAACAAAGAAACCAGAAAAGAAAGAAAAACCAAAATTAGAACCAACAAAAGTAGAAGAAATTCCTGAAAAACCAGAAGAAGTTGAAGAAATTCGTACAGATTTGGTATTGAAAAAACCAAAGAAGAAGGATAAACCAAAAGATGAACTTGTTCCACAATTGATAACTGAAGATAAGGAAGTCATTTCAGAAGATTTGACTTCTGTCCAAGATTTCCAAGTAACTCGTAAAGAAACCATAATCAAAACCGAAAAGAAACCGCAAGAAATTGTCCAAGACGATCAGAAAGTTGAAGAAATAGTTGAAGAAAAAGTTACGGAAGAAACTAAACGAAGACGTAGACAACGTACACAAGTTGACATACCAATTATAGATAAAGATAAAAAGATTGCGCCAAGATTCATCCAAAAATTGCAACCAATTATTGCTGAACTTGAACAACCAGCAAAATTCACTTGCACCGTAGTCGGTAATCCTGTACCTGAAGTAACTTGGTATAGAAACGAACAAGAACTTCATGCAAGTGAAAAATACATTATGACGATCTTTGAAACAACAGCAACATTAGAAATTACCAAGGTTAAAGAAGAAGATGCTGGAATGTATTCTTGTAGAGCATCCAATCCGGCAGGAGTTGCAACGTCAACAGTGAATCTAGTCATCTTTGGTACTGATATTATCAAAGATGCTATGATTTGTGTTGTGTTCATTTTGATTTGCTTTAAATACCTGCATCTATATTTTTATAAAAACAAAAACTTTTTTAATATAATAATAATACCCCCTCCTCCTATCGCTAAAGTTTTATAATAAAAATATCTTTACACATAATTTTATTTTGTTTTTACAGATAACGCATCATCTTTTTCTTTCTCTAATAACCTAAACAAAAAATTTAATAAATAAATAAAAATACTTGCACGTATAATAGATTGTTTTGTTTATGAATGTGTTTTATTGTGTTGCATTTTTTTAACAAAGATCGTTTAATTTGATTGATAAATCTTTTTAATAGAAAAAGAAGAGGAAGGTGTTGCTCCTCACTTCCCAATACCAATCAAACCACTTATGGTCGAAGAGCACAAACCAGCAACGCTTGAATGTATTGTCACTGGCACACCAATACCCGAAGTTAAATGGTATCGCAATGAAAATGAGATCAAACCGAAAAAAGAAGATACGGAAATAACATTTAACCCAGAAACGGGTGAAGCTAAATTAACAATACTCAAACCTAAACCCCAAGATGAAACGACTTATCGTGTACGTGCAGTAAACAAATTTGGACGAGCAGAATGTAGAGCTAATTTGGTTATTAGCAACATTGTTAAAGTATCTAAACCAGAAATAATGCAAGCACCAACGATAACGAAACCATTGCCAGCATTGGTCGCTGAACGTGGTAAACCATTGAAATTAACAGCCGATTTCGAAAGTAAACCAAAACCAGAAGTTAAATGGTATCGCAATGGAATCGAAATTGTACCTAGTAAAAATCGTGTTATTGAAATTTACGAAAATACTACGGAATTATTGATACCAGAACCAGTTAAAACGGACGGTGGAAAATATGAGGTGAGAGTTAAAAATCCTGCTGGTGAAGCACGAAGTTCTGGTTCTGTTACCATCAAAGAACGTGAAGATAAAACTGATGAGGTTAAAGCACCAAGATTTATCGAACCCTTGCAACCACAAATAGTTGCAGAAGGTGAAGTTGTTATCATGGAAGCTAAAGTTGAATCTTATCCGATTGCATCGTTCCAATGGTTTTACGAAGGTCGTCCACTCGAGGTAAATTCTTAACAATTGTTTTAATAATTTTTAAATATTAAAAAAAACAATCCTTTTAATAAATTGTATTCATTTTCAACAGTCAACTGCACAGATGAGAATAGTAACGAAAGAAAACAGATCCTTGTTACTCGTGAAAGAAATCAAACCAGAATACGCAGGAACGTATACCTGTCGTGCAGAAAATGTTGGTGGTTCAGTTACCTGTACAGCAACTGTTAATCTTCTTGAAACAACCTGGGAAGAAGCTACCGAATTAATATCACCGACATTCGTAAAAAGATTATCACCTGTCAGAGTGATGGACGGTGAAAGTGTTAATTTGACATGTGTTGTACAAGGTAAGCCAATTCCAAAAGTTGAATGGTACCACGATGACAAGTTAATCAAGGAAGGAAAAGAAATAACAATTTGGCAAGATACCGAAGGTGTCTGTAGTCTTGCAATTACTGAAGTATTCCCGGAAGATGCTGGTCAATACACCTGTCGTGCTAAAAATCCTATTGGCGAGGCTGTTTGTACAACGTCACTTATCGTCGAAGGTTTGTTCATTCGTTCTTTTGTATTATTTAATGATGATTAATTATTTTAAATTGTTATTAAAAATATTTATTTTGTTTATGTTTGAATAGCATATGAGTACGTACCAGATTCTGAAATTGCATCGTCGATCATTGCAACGTCACTTACCACAGGACAAAGTGGTTCAGAAGAGGATCTATTATCGCCAAAGGTTATTATTATAATAATAGTAATAGTAATTTAATTAATTTAATAAAATTAATAAGAAATAAATATATGAAATAAATAATAAATTAAATAAATTTAATAAAAAAAATAAATATATATATGACATAATTATTATTTATAGGAGACACCTCTATTCGATACGGATACAGAGGAATCAGCTCCAGAAATAATAAAGAAACTTCCTCAGTTAATTCCTACCAAAGATGGTGAATTAACCAGGTAATAAAAATAAACAAAAAAATTATAAAAAACACATTGAACAAATCATTAAATAAATAATTAATTTTTAGATTGGAAGTTAAGGTCAAAGGTAAGCCAAAGCCAGAAGGAAAATGGTATAAGCAAGGTGTGGAAATTGTATCATCTCAAGAATTCCAAATCGAAGAATTTGAAGATGGTACTTCAGTGTTAACGATAACAGAAACTTATCCAGATGACACTGGTGAGATTGTATTCGAAGCTCATAATCCACTTGGTGTATCCACAACTACCACATATTTGTCCGTAGAAGGTAATTATTATAATACAATTATAAATTGTTATAAAATATTTTTAGAAGAAAATTTGTTGCTAATTTAAATCCTAGTTCTTTTCAGTTCAACGCTTTGGGATGGGAACGAATCATTATTGAACCCTTTTAATTATCCTCAAAATCCTATCCGACTATCACAATAATTCTATCACACTAAAACGAACACTCAATTACATTCCCATATATATATGCACATTATTTATTATTATTATTTTAATATTTCTTATGTTTGCAAAAATAAATTCAATCGAAACAATTTGTCGAGCCCTTTGAGTCCCAAAAAAATAGAAAAAATTATGTCCAAGCAAGTAAGATTCATCTTAATTATTTGTTTATTTTATTTATTATTATTATTATTATTTATTAATGATAATATAATAAATGCTATAATGTATTCCTGCTTAATAAAAAAATATTCATATTGAAATATATAATTTTCACAATCAATTATTGCTTTTAAAAATATTCTGGGACTGAAAGGGACAAGAATAATTACATTGGTTATAATTAATATAAATAATAATTGGTTATTAGGTATTCTTGGAACGAAAGATTATAGAAAACCAGAATGGGTTACCCAGATGGAAGAAATGCAAGAAGCACTCAAAGGTAAGAATCAAGATTGTAATATTCGTCAATTGGAATTGTCTGATTGCATGCTGAGTGAAAATGAATGCAATTTCAACGATGATAGTGTTAAAAAAAAAACTATTCTATGGAAAAAAGATAAGTCAAGGACAACAGATGAAAATGTTTTGATGAAAACCATCGAAGAAAGTCAAAATACGATTGAAATTTCAAAACAATTGCATGTTTCCAATAAACATTCGGAATCCATTGAGATAAAAAGTGATTTAAATAAAATGTATTTAGATAATTCGCAATGTTCTGTTAATGTTAAAACTGTGTCAGAAAATAATATGAAAGAACTGTATAGAAAATTGCAAAAAATTGAATCAAATCTTTTACAATTGAACGAACAATCTGAAATACAAATAAAAAGTATGAAAAGTGATATGAAACAAGATAAAAATGAAACGATTAATATAATCAAAGTATCTAATAAGTTGGAAGAAACTAAAGAAAAAATAAATCTAATGAAAATTACAAAGAAAATGTTGAAAGATCAAAGAACAAAAGTTAATGATAACCCTGAACAATTAATATATTTAACTGACGATGAAACATCTACGAAATTTAATGAATTATCTAATATAAATATAAAAACGAGATTAGTATCATCATCGAATAAATCTAACAAAGAATTGAACAAACAAAGATCTAACAAATCACATTCATCGTCAGCATCATCTTCATCTTCATCGTCAACTAGATCTTCATTGTCGATGAAACAAATGTCTAACGAAATACACGAAAATATCACTGACACAACTATGAAAAAAATGAAACCTAAAATCACGTTGGATTTTGATGAATTTCCACCGCCAAAATTGGAAAGAAAAATTCAAGGTCAATTAGATTTAAACGTACCTGAAGTTGCATTTTATTTATCACCCATCGAAGAAAACAACGAAACATTGTCTAACGATCAAAATCAATTTGATTTTCGCATTAACAAGATCCAAATGCAAGAATCATCTTCATCGTCATCGTCAAAGAGAACAGAATTAAAAACAGACAACCATGTTAAATATGAACACGTTAGAAAATATCATACGTATCCAAAATCACGAATACCAGTACCAAGATGGTCGAAAGAACGACATTTTGGTAATTTGACCATGGATTCAAGGATGTATCCATTAGAACCCAGAGAAATTGAATTAGAAGCATTCCAACAATTGCATACAGCTGACAGTCAAGAAGAATTGCAAGAATTTTTGTTATTGGAAAGTCAATGCAGTGGAAACAATCTTGGTTTGGCTAGCAACATTTCAACATCTGAAGAAATTACCTACGAGCATCATCATAGTGAGGATGAAAGGGGGACAATGTCAGGTATTTTATTATCATCATCACTAACACAGACAAATATTTGTTTTTATTTAAACATTATATTTTGCACGATTTTGTGTGTGTACGTTTGTGTTTTTCATCTAATCAGATTACTGACATTGGGATCATGCCAATCAAACGATCATCATCATTATTATAATCAGGTAAAAAATGTATGTTAATTAATTTGTAAGATATTATTATTATATGGATAATTGTTATATTAATTATGGTATACATGATTATTTTTTAGCCACGCAATCCATACCACGATTTATTCAAGAAATAACAGACGCTTATGTTAATGAAGGAGAGAAGGTTGTATTTGAATGCTTGTATTCCGGTAATCCTGTTCCAGGTAATATTTTAAGTATTAAGAATATATAATAATTAAAATCCTATAATTAAAAATAATAAATTAATTTATCATTGTATTATGAAGAAAAATTTTATCTAAATTGAAACACTTATTATAATAATTATTTAAATTATATGAAACATTTGTTCATGAGATAAATTTGATTTAAAATGTTAACAAGAATAGAATTCTATTATTATTTTTGATACATATTTTTATTTATTTGTAACGCAGACGTTGTTTGGTACAAAAATGACAAAATGATAATGAATACGGAAAATATTAAAATTCGTATAATCGATCAAGAGAAGAAAACAACGTTGACAGTTTTAAAAGCAACCAGAGATGACGAAGCTAATTATGTTTGTAAAGCTACCAGTGATATTGGTTTAGCAATAACAAAAGCAAAATTACGTGTAACCGGTAAGAATATTAATTAATAAATAAAAATTCAACACACGATATCTAAAATCGATAATTAAATCATTCAAAATGAATAATAATTAATTACATTAGGTACTGAAACTGATTGGAAACCAATGTCGGAGGATGAAACCGAAGAGGTTGTTGAAGTGAAACAAAAGAAAGTACCCAAAAAGAAGAAACCAGAATTGAAAAAGGCCAAGGAATCGAAGGAAAAGATTAAACCAGAACGTGTTAAAGTTGACAAAAAAGAAATCTTTACAGAAGAACTGTTAGATACAGAACAACCCGAAGACAGGTGAGTTAAATATTTTGAAAATTAAATTAAATAAAAAAAAATAAGATTCCACGATTATTAAATTTTATTGAATATTTATATTAATTTTTATAGAAAAATTGTTGATATCGAAGAAACCCAAGTATTGGAAAGTGCAACAACGTTTGAAGAAAGAACGAAAGAGGTAATTAAACAAAATATTTTACAATTAAAAATTCCAATATCAATCGTTACGATTATTATAATAAAAAATTAATATAATAAAATATTTGTAATATCAGACATATTTTAAATGAATAACACTTACAGGTATCTCGTGCTAAAAAGATCGTACCAATTCAAGAACCAGTGATAACTGAAGCAACAGCATCAATGAAGAAAATCGATGACAAAAAACCACGAGAAAAAGATTGGCCCAGAGAAAAAGCAAAACCTGTCATCGACGAACGTGAAAGTACATTGATAGTTTCAGAAATAAGACCGGAAGATGTGACAACTGATTTCAAAGTTGAAAGAACAATTGATCGTGCTAGAGAAACAACAACCACTGGTGAAATAATGGAAACAATTTCTGTATCAGAAATTCGTACGGAAAGTGACGTACAAGAGATCAAACGTATTGAAACTAAACAGAAGAAAGGTAAAAAGGTTACGAGTCAAGAAATAACACAGGTGATCAAAACTGAAGAAATGATTGAAGAAAAACCTAAGAAAAAGAAGAAAGGTGAAAAGATGAGAATACGTGAAGAAATAACTGTAGAAGAAATCCTTGAAAAAGAAAGGGAACACATTGCCAGAGAAGTTGAAGAAATTCTCGAGGTACTTCAAGCGAAAGAATTTGGACCAGGTGAAACTCCATTGAGAGAATTAGCAACGATTGGTTATCTCGTACGTCAAGGTGTTTCTGTTACTGAAATAAATGAAAGTCTTTACACTACCGACAAGTTTCCAGCATTGAGAACACCCGATGCACAAAATGCATTAGTCCAATTGGTAGAACGTGAAGGTCATGGGCCTTTGATCAGTCAAGTATTAACAGAAGAAACAACTACTGATGAAAGTATCGTAGCAGCTACTATTGGGTTCAGGGCATTTATGAGAATGATCGAATTGCAACATGCAACTGTGGAGGAAGTTATTACTCATTTTGTACCTGAAGACTTCCGTCCACGTGCTTGGGAAGTCACTGAAGTGACTGAGGTACGAATTACAAAAGTTATATCATTATTTTATTAATTTAGTTATTACCAATTTTAATTATTTCACTTTATTTTAATATAAAATAATATTTAATATACTTAAATGGCCACTTAAGCAACATGTGCATGTGAAGTTTATCATTGAAGATTAATATTAATTGTCTGGTAGGTTATATGAATTAAAATACAATTATTTGGATTAATAATTATTATGGGGTTTGTTAGAAAGACAAGTATTGAATACTATTGGTCAACTAACCACCCTACCCCACCTAATCTTATTTAATTATAACATAATATTTAATATACTTTAATGGTCACTTATGTAACATGTTATCATTAAAGATGAATATTAATATTATATATAAATTAAAATACAAATATTTAGATTAATAATTATTATAGGGTTTGTTAGAAAGATAAAAATTAAATACTATTGGTCACTTAACCACCACCTCACCCACCATCATTGAAATACCAAATTTTTTTGAAAACGTTTGACTGTGTTGATATAGAAATGGCCATTGAAGTATTTAAATTTAAATAATTATTGGAAATTATTATAATAAAATATTTTTAGGTTGAAACCGAGCAACACGTTATGGAAAGAATCGATGCCGTCCATAAGACAGAAGTCCATATCATGGGTAAGTTTAGATTGCGTGGTGTGATGTTTTTTTAAAACTAATTATACCAAATTGTACATGGATTGTTATTTTAATCTAATTTTCTTCTAATTCCCGTTTGTTTTTCTTTCTTTTTATTGAATGATTTAATATAAGCGTTTATTAATTTATTGTTATACTATAATAATAATAATTATTATTATTATTACGCCATATACTTAGTTGTATATTTAATTAAATTAAGAATTTAACATGTTTGATATTACAAAATGATAAATGTTGCTTATTAATGTTTAATCTATTATATAATTTTAATATTATATGTTTATATATATTTTTTTACAAATTATTTCTTTCTTTTAATCTACGTTGTATTTATAATTGTTTAATAAATATTATTATAAATATCTGTGTGCCATAATATGCCTGCGTTTTGATTTACTTTTGATTTTCTTTTCCCTAAAAAAATGTTCAACAGCAACGACGAACAAACAATTTTTGATTGCAGAAAGAAGAGATGAGAGGAAAGCCATTCACAAACAGGATATTCAAGAAATTAAAGGTTTGATAGAACGAGTTACGATGCATGGGTTAATTAATAATAATATTATTATTATTTTTATACAAACCGGATAAACTATCAATTTGTTTTTTTATTTTTTTTTTTATTATTATTATCATTAATTATGCTATAATTTCTCATCATTCGTGGTACAATTAATATCATGTCTTATTATTACAAATAAATAAATAATTGTGAAATAAAAGTTAAAAATTTCAAATTTAAATTTAAACAATGTGGTATTAATTTTGCTATCGAAATATCATAAATTTATTTTTAATCCATCTATGAACAAAAAAAACAAAATACAAAATACAAACGAAAAGATGGATTATATTTTATATACAATATAAAAATAATATTCATAAAAATCATTTTTTATTAACCAATTGAAAAACAGAAAAAAAAATTCGATATCATTTTGAAGGATACGCTTTTCTACGTTTGATCTTTTTATTCTTTCAGATGCATGAAGCTTTACACTATGATCGAATCAAAATTGCAGTGACAATTTGATTTCTGCTTAAGCCGCTATGCTTTCCACGCGCAATAATAACCTTAATTATATATCCAAAAATTATTAATAATTATTCTCCCAACAACAATAAAAAAAAAACAACAACAACCATTTACCCAAAAATCCACGCCTACGAGTAGTATTGCAGCTATAAAATAATAAAAAAAAAAAAGAAACAAATGAGCTTCGCTATGCTGAAACGTAATTAAAAATGTAAGTAGATGGCAATTACAATTAATAATTATAACAATCAGTGCTTTTATAGTGATTTGTTTTAATTGTTAATTAATTTTTCTTTCACTTTAATCCAATTTCACTTTAATTCACTTGCAACATAATAATTGACATGCAAATGATCATACACAAAAAAAAATATAATAAAATTCCTAAAAAATATATCATTCTGAAGTTAAAATTATTTAATTAACTTCATCACAAATATTTTATCTATTAAGTTATCTTTATACATATTCACAGCAACATTTGGTGTGGTCTGTTTTTTTCTTCTTCTTCTTCTTCATCTTCTTCTTCATCTTCTTCTTTTATGATAGTATTAATTTAATCAAACATGTTACATATATTTAAAAAAGTAGAGTAAAATAAAGTAATTTTTTTGCAAAATAACTTTTGTAATATATTATAACAAAAATGATATTTATTATTTCGTTGGTGTCTATGTTGGTTTGACTTCTTTGAAAAAACTCTTTCATCTTTTACTTTATCAACCACTATTTTCTATTTCAAATAAAACATTCACATAATTACTTGTTTACCAAGCAACGCATGACACTTGCCTGTACATAAATGACACAAGCACAACATTCCAAAAATGTCGTAATTACAATTTCAAATTAAAAAAATAAATAAAATACACCCACCTCCTTTTTTTAATCGAATTAAATCATTACAATCATTATAAAAAATATACTTTTACAAAATATATATATATATACTTACATAAAATACGACATCGTTGGAAAAATTATTATTAAAAAAACAGCATAAAACACATTACTCGTTTTTTTGTACGTTTTTTATTGTTCGTTGGTTTTTTTTCTTCTTTTTCTAGCTCGTTGTAGGTTGTATTCTTCGTTTCGTTGAAGCACGATTCTTGTATGAAAAAAAAAAGAGAGATTCATTTTACACGATGAATTATGAAAAATATTCACACTATACTCTTCGAAAAAATAAAATTAAAAAAAAACACGACAGTATTTTCATTATTTATTATACTCATAGAAACAATAAAAGAAAAAATAATTAATATTTTTTATTAGTAATTAATTTTAATTTATATTGTAATTATATATGTAATTAATAATAATTATTTTAAATATAAAATTATATAAATATAATATAATATAATTATATATATTTTTTTTTATTTATTTTATATTTATTTTATTAATTATATAATACAACATAAAATATTAAATTAATTAATAAAATAATATTAATTATTATAACTCAGTGTAAAATGAATCATAAATATTTTTTTTTTTTTTAAATAACATAACTATCTGATTCGTCGCATGAAGTATGCAAGAGTGTATTACATATATAGTACATACATAGGCAAAACGAAGGGTGAAATAAAAGGGAGTTTCTACTAAACAAAAAGCTAGTTGAAATTAAAAGCAAAATAAAAAAATTAAATTAGCAGAAGTAGAGGTAACACTTGAAAGAAAATAAAAAAAAACAACAAACATCGCGTCTTACACATAAAATCTCACATACTTTCCGCAGAATACGAGGACACACGGCAGGCACACACAACAACACTACGCAAGCGAAAAGATAGAAAACCTCAGGATCGGATTGAAGATAAACCTAAGGATGATAGGGATGAGGTGGTAGAGGTAGAGGTAGTAGAAATCGAGGAAATCCAAGATATTGGAAAGGAGAAGAAGAAGAAGATAAAAGAGGACGTAGAAGAAGAAGAAGAAGAAGAAATAATTGTCATTGATAAGGATTCGAAAAGCAGACTGATTCCAAAAGATAAAGTTGATATCATTAAAAAGATAACAGATGAGAAAGAAGATGAACAAATTGAAACAGAACAAGAAATAATAGAAAAAGATATGATTGTCAAACGTAAACAGTTGAAAGCAAAGAAACCGAATATCGGTGAAGATGAAATACAATTGGAAGAAGTTGAAGAATTTGAAATAAAACGTGACAAATCAATGCCTTCTGTCATATTGAACGTACCTGGTCAACTTCACGAAGTTGTATCATTTAATCGTACAGTTGAACAAGCGCCAGGTAAACCCAAAGTTGAAAAAGCTCAATTAGCTGTTGACACAGTCAGTGCACTCACCGAACATCTTCAACCTGTACAAGAAAAAGAAATTGATAGTGTTGACGTTAAAAAACCTGCGGAACAAAAAGCATCTGTTACAGTTTCAATGGTTGAACCATATTCTACTACAGAAACAAATGTTCAAGCTAGTGCAGGTGAATTTGTAGATAAATTTAAACCCAATACTTATGAAGCTACTCCAGGTATTACACCATCCGAAAGTTTAATGGTAAGTGAAATATTAACCAACGATGCTGATTTATCTGATTTAACTTTGAGCAAACCAGAAATCGCTAGAACAGCTGACACCAGTTTGACGTTGCAAGAAGCTAAAACAATTTCGGAAACTTTGGTAAGTCAAAATGAAGTACCAACGGAAGATTTTGTTTCACCACTTACGGCTAAAGCTGAGGATAATTTCTTACCTCAAGTTGGGCTATCAGTTTATGAGGTACAAGAAGGTTTGGTTGAGGATAAACTTGAAATTGTTAAAAATATTCCTACGAAACCTAGGGTCAATGTTACTGCAACCGAACCGCTTATTGTAGAAGAAGTTTGTGCTGAGGATAAACCTGGAAAATATTATCCAGAATTGATAGTACCAACTGAAGTAGCAACACAATCGATCATAGCACAAAAACAAAGAATCACCGAAGAATTGCATGCACCTGAAAAGGAAGGTGAATATGTTCCAGATAAATTGCCACCTAGTCAGAAAGCACAAATTGGTATTTCTTACGATAACGAGACAGCCATAGTTGAACAAAATGTAATTCAAGAAAGTGAAGGTATTTTTGTTCCTGACAGAAAAACAGATACATTTGAAGCAACTGATAAAATTACCTTGTTGGAAGGTGTAACAGTGTCAACAGTTGACACTCATCAAAAAGAAACTGATTTTAAAGTTGAAGAAAATAAAACGGTACAAGCTAATTTAAGTGTCATCGAAATAACATCAGCTACTACCGTAGAAACAATTACTTCAGAAAAAGAACAAGATTATCAACCAGATGAAAAACCAATTACCAAACTAGCCGAAACATCAATATCAACATTAGAAATTGGCTCTGTCACTAGTACGATGGTACAAGAATCGGAAGGGCCGTACAGCATCGATCAAAAACCAACAGCATTCTTGGCAGAAACTTCGGTTAGACCTGAAGAATATTTGCAAATATCTCAAGTTGAAACAGCCGATTATCCATCAGATTTTAAAGATGAATTAAAATACATATCCGAAAGTGGTAACTTAACTGTAGAATTAACAGAAGCTAAAATCATACACGAAACACTTACACACGATAAAGAATCTAAATTGGAAGAAACGATGAAACCAGAAGAACGTACAATTGCAACTTCATACGATGCAATGCGAGGTGTTGAAATTTTCCAAACCACTTCGATAGAAAAAGAAAGTGAATTGAAGATATTCGAATTACCAGAATCCCATCACGGTAAAACTGTGCCAACTCAACCGGTTGTTTCTCTACAAATCGAGGAAACACAACCTGAAGATAACGTGGGTGAAGTTGTCAAAGAAATTCCATCCTCTGCAGTAGCTGCAGTTGGTGCTGTAAGTTTACAGGAAACCATTGTAAAAGAAACGGTAACAGCTGAAGGATTAGGTCCAGTAAAAGATGACCAAGTTGTTGATATGAAAAAAGCTGAAATATCAATCGATGAAATTGAAAGTGTTCGTACAACTATGATCGTAACCAGTGAAAAAGAAGCTGAGTATACCACAGTAACTGACGTTAAAGGTGCATTTGCAACGACAGATTTTGTAACGCACAATGCACCGATATCTGAGGAAGTTAGAACTGAATCTCCAACCAATGAATTTGTTCCTCAAGAAAGACCAGCATCAAGAACAGCTGACGAATCACGGATACCTCTTGAAAGTATCTCAGTAGAGGTACAGGAAACTGCTGAGAAAGAGGACATTTATAATATCGATGTAAAACCAGAACAAAAAATTGCTAATGTGGATTATACTGAAGCTAAAAGTGGATTGAGTGTTCTTGAAATTGTGACACATGATAAAGAAATGACGTATGCTCCTACGGAAAAAACAAAAGATTATACAGTTCAGACATCAATAACTGGTCATACCATAGCATTACAATCAGAAACAATGATACAACAATCTACTGGTTCCATAATTGATGATATTCCTAAAACAGGAAAGGCAATTCAGCAACAAGAAGCTTTGGAAGAATTGATCGTAACTGAAACTAATATCGCGGAAACGGGTAAACCAAGGGAAATGGACGTACGTCCTGTTGAACAAAGTGCTGAAGTTGAATTTTGTACGAGACCGGAAACATTAATGGTTAGTGAAATTACAGCCATGTTGAACGAAGAAAAATTATCAATCGAGGAAGTACCGAAAGAACGTAAAGTTGCTATGAACATCAGTGATACTCACGAGGTTGCAGAAATGCAAGAAACAATTGTTGCTAGTAACGTGAACATTCTCAAGGAAGATAAACCAAAAGAAGAAAGTGCAACTCAAGAACAAAGTGGATTAAATATCGTACAACAAACTGAAGTATCAGTTTCCGAAAAGGAATCACCATTGGTGGCTGATGTCAAACCGGAAAGCAAAAAAGTGGGAGTTACTTTTGAAGAAGGTGAAGGTCTTGAAATTGTCATGACCCATCCCGAGGAAAAAGAAGGACAATTTGACAAGGAATCTAAACCAAAAGGTATTGAGGCAAACGTTGATATTATCACTCAAAATGTGGCATCTACCTTTGAGATAATAAGCGACACTGATTTGTCTAAATTATCAATCGAACCTACCAAAACTGCACAATCATCAACAACTTTCTTACCATTTGAAACAACCATTTCTGAACAAGTGGAAACTACGGAAAAGGAAGCACCATTGTCAGAAATCCAACCATCCGACAAAAAAGCAACACTTGAATTCATCATGGGTGAAAGTGTCATAGTTTCATCGGTAATACCGGGTGACAAGGAAAGTACTTTACCTAAAGAAGAAAAACCAGAATCAAAATCAATAATGTTTGATATACCAACACATGTTGTAGCTGAAACAAGTGAAACAACCACCACAGATAACATTGGTGATTTCAAACGTGAAGAAGTAACTTCCGTTACAGCTACCACGGATCACGTTACATTCCGTAGTTTGATAACATCAGAAATATCCACTGGTGATTTAGAACAACCACTTCCAACGTTTGTCAAACCTGATGATAAAATGGTCAACGTTACTTTCGATGAAGAACACGGAGTAACCATATTAGAAACCATAACGTCTGACAAAGAAAAAGATTATACACCTGCAGCACTTATTGAAGGTGAAAAAGCAATAACATCATTCGATGCTCACAAAGTTGCACAACAGACAGAAATAACCCCAGCAACGCATCCAGGAATTTTAGACATCTCAAAGCATCCCGTTGCTGAAGCTAAAGAGGAACGTTTACCATTCGAAAGTATCATACAATTGGAAACGATTATCACAGAAACTGAAAAAGAATTTCAAGAGAAACCTGTTATAGGTAACAAAGCAGAAATTGGAATAAACGAATTTATTTCTGTGACAGAAAGTACAGAAATTGCTGCACACAAAGAAGCAATTCTTGAGATTCCAGATAAACCAATCGAAAAGAAAGCAGGTGTTCAAATAATAGGTCATCCAATAGCTGAGAAAGAAGAAATTATGGTAGACCTTAGTGTTGGAAAAGTTGAAGATTCTAAAACGTTGACAGTAATTGCAACACCTTCGAATGTTCCATTAGAAACAATTGTAACTTCAGAGATACAACCATCAGAATCTGAGACACCATTAACCAAAGATAAATTACCTATGCAAGCAACAGCAGAATTAGCAATGGAAGAGGAACAAAGTATACAAATATCAACAGTTATTACTGAAGATAAAGAAAATGAATACAAACCTAAAGAAATGCCTGAAGTAAAGAAAGCAGGAAAAACTTACGTGGAAGGTCACACGGTAGCTGAAACAATGATGCAAATTGTCGATCATACTACTGCAGAATTGATCAAAGAAAAATTATCTATGTCAACTGTGAAACCTGAACATATACCATTGTTACCACTGATCGAATCTCAACCAATCGTTCAAGAAAGTGAAGATCAATTCTTACCAACGACAATACCAGAAAATAAAACAGCTAACGTTGGTTTGGAATACGGTAGAACAACTGTCACAGTATCTCAAGTGACTACCAATGAAAAGGAATCCATTTATGTACCTGAAGAACAACCATCGAAACATTCAGCTCTTCGTGGAATTGATTCAGGTCATGGTATTGCTGAAACAACTACAATAACTACCGAAGATTCGGTTGGTGAAGTTCATGTGAAAAAACCAGATACAAAAACTGCAGTTCCTAGTCAAGAAGTGCAACAAAGTTTGTTGATAACTCAGGATATTCCTCAGGATCAAGAAACACCCTTCGAAGGAAAATTCAAACCAACCACACACGAGATTCACACGTCGATAGAAGAAGGTAAACGTGTTATAACTGTTACGGAGGTTAACATATCTGACAAAGAAGATATTCTTACAACTGTCAAAGATAGAAGTCAAGAAGCTGTACCCAGTATTATTACTGGACACGAAGTTGCTGAAAAGACTGAAATAATAACTGATTTGAGTACTGGTAAATTGGATATAATCAAACCATCCTCAGCTGTAGCACAAATTGGACAAAAACCTTACGAAACTATTCAATTGACCGAAGAGATTTTAGGTGAAAAAGAAATAGACACGGTTGAGAAAATCTCGTTAACTTCAACTAAAGCACGTGTTGCATTAGACGATAATAGATTCATTGCAATAACAGAAGCTACAGTTACGCAAGACGTTGAATCAGAACTTGTTTTGGAGAAGAAACCTGCCGAAAAAACGGCAATACCTTCGTTAGATGCTAAAGAAGTTGCTGAGCAACTTGAAGTCAACTTACGTGAAGGTCTTGGTACGTTACCTGAAGCAACAAAACCAACTGTATCGGAAGCCCATCGTACTCAATCTATATTGGAATCAATAAACATCAATGAAACAATTCCCCAAGAACAAAGTTCAGTAATTTCGGATAAATTGGAACTGGACAAGCGTAGCGCTGAAATTGCTTTTGTTGAAGAAAAAAGTTTAATAATTGACACCGTGGTAACTCAGGATAAAGAAGACATAATGACAGTACCGGAATATACTCATGGTACTGCACAAATGAAATTAACTAGAATTGGAATGGACGTTGCTGAAACATCTGAATTATTGATAGAACAAAGTACCGGTTCTGTTAAACCATTTGAAAAAATTGAAATGAAAGCTCACCCAAAACAAGACACGTTAGAGCCATTAATCATCGAAGATAATCCTAGCGCTGAAAGTGAAGGTTTGTTTGATAAATATCCTAAAACAATTTCGAGTACTGCAAATACAATGTTTGAAGAGGGTCATAGTATTTCAGTAACTGAAGTGACCTCAGCTGAGATTGAAGAATCTTTGCAAACCAAAGAACTTGGCCCATCTCAAACAGCTTCTTCAACAATAATTACAGAACATGGAATGATCGAAACAACTCTTGTAGAATCTCAAGTCAATATACCTGAAAAGGGCACCAAAGATCTAAGTGTCACACCCCAAAAAGCAACAGCTCATCGTGATACGTTTGAAAGTATCATCGTTGAACAAAAATTAGTCGAAGAAAGTGAAAAAACATTCGAAGGTATTTTCAAACCATCGATGCAAAAAGCAGACATTGATTTCCAACAAAACAAACCTTTGCAAATATCCGAAATTATTTCGGATGACAAGGAAGATGTGTTTGATGTTGCACCTAAACGACAAGGGGTCAAAGCTACAACAGAAATTGGATTATTCGAAACGGTACAAAAATCATTGATAGAAGGTGTGCAAAATGTTGAAGAGATACAAAAAGAAGAAACAATTTCATCTCAAGCAACTTTGTCGCAAATACCTCAGGAAGCTGTTATAGAAACGGAAACAACATTAGGTGAACGTGAGGATACATTTGAAGGAAAAGATTTTAAACCAACCGAACAAAAAGGAAAACCACAATATGAAGGATTGAGTACAGTTACGATTACCGAAGTTATTTCAAACGAGACTGAAGATATTTTACCAGAATCGACAGTTCCAAAAGAACAAAAAGCTCTAGCCAATTTATTAAGCAAAGAAGCTATTGAAACATTACAAGTATTAACTGTTGGAACTGCTGAAGATATAACAGAAAATCTTAAATTCGAAGAAAAACAAACGAAAGTAGAAGTTGAAGAATATTCAAGCGTATCAGTATCTGAGATAATCCTAAACGAAACGGAAGATACATTGTTGCAAAAAGAATTGCCAAAAGATCAAACGGCACAATTTAATATTTCCGGTAGAGAAGTAGCTGAAACAACTGAAGTAATGATCAGCACAGAAACCCAAGATTTAAGTACGAAAGTTCCGAAAGAAGAAAAAGGTAAACCGGGTTTGGAAGAATTGACTCCTTTGACAGTTTCACAAATAGTTTCGAACGAAGCTGAAACAACATTGCCAACTGCTGAAATGCCATCGGAAAAGGTTGCTCAACCAAGTTTGTTGGGTAGAGACATAGCTGAAACAAGTCAGGTGTTTACCATGACGAGTGCTGAACAATTGGTGTCACAGCAAGAACCTGAAAAGCAAAAAGGTAAACCAGGTTTAGAAGAGTTGTCATCGTTGACAGTATCCCAAATAATATCTCACGAAGTTGAAGAAACAATGCCTAGTCCAGAAGTTCCTACTGAAAGGGAAGCCCAACCGAATATCTTTGGACGGGATGTAGCTCAAACGATGCAAGTTTTGACTATGACTAGTGCTGAACAATTGATCGAATCCAAATTACCTGAAGAACAAAAAGGTTATCCAAGTTTCGAGGAATTATCACCACTGACCATTTCACAAATATTGTCCAATGAAATGGAAGACACATTGGCAACATTGGAAAAACCTGCTGAGAAAACTGCACAACCAAGTTTCTCTGGCAGAGACGTGGCACAAACCAGTCAAATATTAACCATGACCAGTGCTGAAGAATTTTCCAAAATTGTTAAACCTGGTGAACAAAAAGGTAAACCACAATTAGAGGAATTAAGTTCAGTATTAGTTTCCCAAGTGGTTTCTCATGAAAGTGAAGATGTTTTACCAACTGCAGAAGTACCAAATAAATTTATGGCAACGTCTATGCTATCAGGAAGAGAAGTTGCTGAGACTACTCAAGTATTATCAATGAGTAACACCGAAGAATTAGATAAACCTGAAATACCAAAAGAACAAAAAGGTAAACCACACTTCGAAGAATTAACGTCAGTATCAGTGTGTCAAATAGTATCCAACGAATCAGAGGAAACTTTGATAAGTCCAGAAAAACCTGATGAAAAGATAGCAAAACCAATGTTACTTACAAGAGAGGTAGCTGAAAAAACTGAAATCTTAACTGTCTCAACTGTAGAAGAAATGCCAAAATTAGAAAAACCAGAAGGTCAAAAGAGGAAACCAGAAGTAGAAGAATTCAGTTCACTCGTAGTTTCTGAAGTTATTTTCAACGAAGCTGAAAAAACTTTACCTAGTCCGGATGTACCCACGGAACGTAAAGCATTCCCAAATATGTTGAGTGTGGAAGCCACTGAAATATCCGAAGTTTTAACAGTAACCAATGTAGACCAATTAGAAAAACCTAAACTACCTGAGGGACAAAAAGGTAAACCACAATTGGAAGAATTAACATCATTATCAATATCAGAAGTTGCTACCAGTGAATTGGAAAAAGATCTTCCAACACCGGACGAACCAACGAAACAAACGGCATTGCCCAGTTTGTTCGGCAGACAGGTTGCTCAAAAATCACAAGTCATAACGTCATCTACTACTGAAAATCTTGCTGAAATCACTACACCAGAAACTAAAAATATAATTCCTGAACAAATACCTTACGAAACGTTTGAAGAAATTCAAACAGTTCCGCAAGAAAGTGAACGTAATCTTGTTATTGATAAAACCGTATCAATGGCAACTGCTGAAGTTACATTCCGAACTTCTGAAAGTTTCCAAGTAACTCAAATCATGACCACCGAAAAAGAAACTAAACAAGAAGATAAAGAAACGATTAAGGAAGTTAGTGCATTACCTGACGTTGTCAAAACTGAAGTTGCATTGAAAACTGAAATTCTTGTAGAAGATACAACCTCAGAATTTAAAATATCAAAGCCTGAAAGTAAAAAGGCACGTGAATTGGAAGAACCTAAAGAAAGTATCATTGTCACGGAATTGGGAAATGTTGGAGAATGTGAATCAGTCTTGCTAGAATCCATAATGCCATTAACAAAGGTAGCTAATGTGTCAATTGAAGCTGATCGTCTGACAAATGTAATAGGTGAGTATTATTACAATCAATTTATATGACAATTGCTGACGTGACCAACATTCAGAAATGACCAACTGAGACAATATCTGACAAGCATAAAAGAAAGATTTTTATCTTTAAAAATAAAAAACAATACAAAAGAATTTTCATAAAAATTACATTGATGAATAAATAATTATAAAGATTAAACTATAATAGGAAAGTGTAAATGACACGTAGGTATATATATACTTAATAATAAGTACAAAACAAAGGATTATCGTGATAAATAGGTAAGTACCAATAGAAAGTTAGTTATAATAAAATAGTCAGGTAGTAGATAAGGGAAAAAACAAACTTATAAATAAATAATACATTCCAATAATCGGTCTGAAAAACACAATGATACAAATACAAAAAAACACAACTATACAAATTCACTACTACTAATCACAAAAATATATTTTTCATTATAAAAATTACACCAAAATATCATATTCAATTAAACGAGATTATAATAATAATAATATCTGTATACATTGTTAATTAAACAATGTATTATTATTATTATTATATAAAACAATTATTATGTAATAATATATATATATATATATATATATTACAGAATAATAATAATATAAAGGTAAATTAAAAATGTATCATTTGAAAAAAATGAGAATCCTGAAGAATGTGTCGAAGAAGCATAGAAGTCAAACCAAATAAAGTAATCAACAAAAAAAATAAATTGTCAATTCATCATCCACATCTTTGTCATATCACACTTTATTCTGTATACATTTCAGAAACAACAGAAGCACCAGTGCAACAACATGACACCATAATCACATTACCACACAAAACAAAACATACCATAACAACACAACCATCGTTCGAATCTGATACCGAGGTGACTGAAGAATATACAACGAAATTTAGACGTGGCAGCAAGGATGAAGATACGGCAGCTATTAAAACTAAGAAAACAATAATAAGAAAGAAGAAACCAATTTTAGGAAAAGAAGAAGAAAATATTGTCGTAATTGAAGAAGAATTGGAAAATATTAAATCAACCTTACCACAAATACCAAAGAAACAATTTATGTCGATTGAAGAGATAACAGATGTTGTTACTGAAGAAGAAATAATACCAAGTAAAATTGAAGAAATTGAAGAAATTCCACTTGACGATGAAAAATTACCGGAAAAGGAAGTACCTAAGAAGAAAGAAAGGAAAGAAAGTTTCGTAACAGAGGTTACGATTGAGAAACCAATTGGGACAGCAACTGAAATGCCTGAAGAAACGGTAGAAATTGTAGAAACACCTACGAAAAAAGTAATAACGAAAAAGAGAGTGAAAAAGGATCAACCAACTGTTATAGTTCAAGAGATTATAGAGAAATCAGAAGAAGAGACGAAGATTATGGAACAGGAAAAGATAGTTGAGATAACTGAGACTCCGACTAAAAAGATTATCAAAAAGACAAAGTCTCGAATTACTGAGGCTGGAGTACCAGAGGAAGTTGTGGAAGAGATTGTTATTGAAAAACCAAAAGAGGAACAAGCAATACCAATTTTGGAAGAGTTAGAAAAAGCAAAAGAAGAGAAGCCCGAAGTAATTGAGGTGATAGAAACCCCAACAACTAAAATAGTTAAAAGAAAGAAAAAACCAACAAAGAAAGGTGAGCGTGAAATTATAACACAAGAAATAATACAGAAAAGACAAGATGAAGTCGAGCTTATGGAAGAACAACAAATCGTAGAAATCACTGAAACACCAAAGAGAAAAATAATCAAAAAGAAAAAGACCAGAATCACTGAGGCTGGTGTACCAGAAGAGGTTGTAGAGGAGCAGGTTATTGAAAAACCAGAAGAAGAACAGGCAAAACCTCTTTTGGAAGAACTAGTAGCCCCGCAGGAAGAAAAACCAGAAGTGATAGAAATCGTTGAAACACCTACAACTAAAATAGTGAAGAGGAAGAAGAAACCCACGAAAAAAGGTGAACGTGAAATTATAACACAGGAAATCATACAGAAAACGCAAGATGAAGTCGAGCTTATGGAGGAACAGAAGATAGTTGAAATTACAGAGACTCCCACGCGAAAGGTAATTAAAAAGAAAAAGACAAGGATTACTGAAGCAGGAGTTCCAGAAGAAATTGTAGAGGAGCTGGTTATTGAAAAACCAATAGAAGAACAGGCAAAACCACTTCTGGATGAATTAGAAAAACCAAAGGAAGAGAAACCCGAAGTAATAGAAATTATTGAAACACCAACAACTAAAATAATTAAAAGGAAGAAGAAACCCACAAAAAAAGGTGAACGTGAAATTATAACACAGGAAATCATACAAAAAACACAAGATGAAGTCCAACTTATGGAAGAACAACAAATCGTAGAAATCACGGAGACACCTAAGAGAAAAATAATTAGAAAGAAAAAGACGAGAATTACTGAAGCAGGTGTACCAGAGGAAGTTGTAGAGGAGCTTGTTATTGAGAAACCAATAGAGGAACAGGCAAAACCACTTCTGGAAGAATTAGAAAAACCAAAGGAAGAGAAGCCAGAGGTAATTGAAGTGATAGAAACACCAACAACACGAATAGTAAAGAAAAAGAAGAAACCCACTAAGAAAGGTGAGCGTGAAATTATAACACAGGAAATCATACAGAAAACACAAGAAGAAGTCGATCTTATGGAAGAACAACAAATCGTAGAAATCACTGAAACACCAAAAAGAAAAATAATCAAAAAGAAAAAGACCAGAATTACTGAGGCTGGTGTACCTGAAGAGGTTGTAGAAGAATTGGTTATTGAAAAGCCAGAAGAAGAACAATCAAGACCTATTTTGGAAGAACTTGTAACTCCGAAGGAAGAAAAACCAGAAGTTGTAGAAATTATTGAAACACCTACAACCAAAATAATTAAAAAGAAAAAGAAACCAATGAAGAAAGGTGAGCCTACAGTAATTACTGAAGAGATTATACAGAAAACACAGGATGAAGTTAAAATAATGGAAGATCAACAAATTGTAAAAGTTACTGAAACACCAAAAAGAAAAATAATCAAAAAGAGGAGAAAAATAATTACTGAGGCAGGTGTACCAGAAGAGGTTGTAGAAGAGCTGGTTATTGAAAAGCCAATAGAGGAACAGGCACAACCACTTTTGGATGAGCTAGAAAAACCTAAAGAAGAGAAGCCTGAAGTAATAGAAATCATTGAGACTCCTACAACAAAAATAGTTAAAAAGAAAAAGAAACCCACGGAAAAGGGTGAGCGTGAAGTTATAACACAGGAGATCATACAGAAAACACAAGATGAAGTCGATCTAATGGAGGAACAGAAGATTGTTGAAATTACTGAGACCCCAACCCGCAAGATTATTAAAAAGAAAAGGACAAGGATTACTGAAGCTGGTGTTCCAGAAGAGATTATAGAAGAACTGGTCATAGAAAAACCGAAAGAAGAGCAAGCAGTACCACTTCTAGAAAAATTGGAGAAACCAAAAGAGGAGAAACCAGAAGTAATAGAAATCATAGAAACACCAACAACACGAATAGTAAAGAAGAAGAAAAAGCCATTGAAAAAAGGTGAACGAGAAATAATAACACAAGAAATCATTCAGAAAACGCAAGATGAAGTTGAGCTTATGGAAGAACAGAAAATTGTTGAAATTACTGAAACTCCAACCCGCAAGGTTATTAAAAAGAAAAGAACAAGAATTACTGAGGCTGGTGTACCAGAAGAGGTTGTTGAAGAACTGATTATAGAGAAGCCGAAAGAAGAGCAAGCAGTACCACTTCTAGAAAAATTAGAGAAACCAAAAGAAGAGAAACCAGAAGTAATAGAAATCACTGAAACACCTACAACGAAAGTAATTAAGAGGAAAAAGAAACCTACGAAAAAAGGTGAGCCCACAGTAATCACAGAAGAGATTATAAAGAAAACACAAGATGAAATCAAATTAATGGAAGATCAGCAAATCATAGAAATTACTGAAACACCAACACGGAAAGTTATTAAAAAGAAAAAGACGAGAATTACAAAGGCAGGCGTACTAGAAGAGGTTGTTGAAGAACTGGTTATTGAGAAACCAGTAGAGGAGCAAGCAAAACCACTCCTAGAAGAAGTGGAGACACCAAAAGAGGAAAAGCCCGAGGTTATAGAAATTATCGAAACACCTACAACAAAAATAGTCAAAAGGAAAAAGAAACCTTCCAAGAAAGGAGAACCCACAGTAATCACAGAAGAGATAATACAGAAAACACAAGATGAAGTCAAATTAATGGAAGATCAGCAAATCGTAGAAATTACTGAGACCCCAACTAAAAAAATAATCAAAAAGAAAAAGACGAGAATTACAAAGGCAGGTGTACCAGAAGAGGTTGTTGAAGAACTGGTTATTGAAAAGCCTAAGAAAGAACAAGCTAAACCTTTTCTGGAAGAACTAGAGAAACCAAAAGAGGAGAAGCCTGAAGTAATAGAGGTGATTGAAACGCCAACAACAAGAATAGTAAAGAAGAAAAAGAAACCTACCAAGAAAGGTGAGGCCACAGTAATCACAGAAGAGATTATACAGAAAACGCAAGATGAAATGCAGATAATGGAAGATCAACAGATCGTAGAAATCACAGAAACGCCAACACGAAAAGTTATTAAAAAGAAAAAGACGAGAATTACTAAAGCAGGTGTACCCGAAGAGGTTGTAGAAGAACTGGTTATTGAGAAACCAATAGAGGAACAAGCTAAACCTCTCTTAGAAGAACTAGAAACAGCGAAGGAAGAAAAACCAGAAGTAATAGAAATCTCTGAAACACCTACAACAAAAATAATTAAGAGGAAAAAGAAACCAATGAAGAAAGGTGAGCCAACCGTAATTTCTGAAGAAATTATACAGAAAACGCAAGATGAAGTTCAATTAATGGAGGAACAGCAAATCGTAGAAATAACTGAAACTCCGAAGAGAAAAGTAATTAAAAAGAAAAAGACAAGAATTACTGAGGCAGGTGTACCAGAAGAAGTAGTTGAAGAGATTGTCATTGAAAAACCAGAAGAAGAACAAGCTAAACCTCTTCTGGAAGAACTTGAGACTCCAAAAGAGGAGAAGCCAGAAGTCATAGAGGTAGTTGAAACTCCTACAACAAGGATAGTCAAAAAGAAAAAGAAACCAACTAAGAAGGATGAGCGCACTATAATAACACAAGAAATCATACAGAAAACTGAAGATGAAGTTAAAATAATGGAAGATCAGAAGATTGTAGAAATTACAGAAACACCAACGAAAAAAGTAATCAAAAAGAAGAGAACAAGAATTAGTGAGGCTGGTGTTCCAGAAGAGGTTCTAGAAGAAATTGTCATTGAAAAACCAAAAGAAGAACAAGCAAAACCACTTCTGGAAGAACTTGAGACTCCAAAAGAGGAGAAGCCCGAAGTAATTGAGGTGGTTGAAACTCCTACAACAAGGATAGTCAAAAAGAAAAAGAAACCAACTAAGAAGGATGAGCGCACTATAATAACACAAGAGATTATACAGAAAACACAAGATGAGGTTCAGCTTATGAAGGAACAGAAAATAGTTGAAATTACTGAAACCCCAACAAAAAAAGTAATCAAAAAAAAGAGGACGAGGATTACGGAGGCTGGTGTACCAGAAGAAATTGTGGAAGAAATTGTCATTGATAAACCGAAAGAAGAACAAGTTAAACCTCTTGTCGAAGAACTTGAAACCCCGAAAGAAGAAAAGCCAGAAGTCATTGAAGTAATTGAGACTCCTACAACTAAAATAGTTAAAAGGAAAAAGAAGCCTACAAAGAAAGGTGAACCTACTATGATTACTGAAGAAATCATCCAAAAGACTCCAGATGAAGCAAGGATCATGGAGGATGAAAAGATTGTAGAAATAACTGAAACTCCAACAAAAACAGTTATCAAAAAGAAAAAGACGAGAATCTCCAAAGCTGGTGTACCAGAAGAGGTTGTAGAAGAACTGGTTATTGAGAAACCAAAAGAAGAAAAATCAAAACCTCTTATGAAAGAACTGGAGTTCCCGAAGGAGGAAAAGCCAGAAGTGATAGAAGTCGTTGAAACACCTACAACTAAAATAGTTAAGAGAAAAAAGAAACCAACGAAGAAAGGTGAGCCTACTGTGATTTCTGAAGAGATAATACAAAAAACGCAAGATGAAGTCCAGTTTATGGAGGAGCAGAAAATTGTTGAAATTACTGAAACTCCAACTAAAAAAGTAATCAAAAAGAAGAAGACCAGAATTACCGAGGCTGGTGTACCTGAAGAGGTTGTGGAAGAGCTTGTCATTGAAAAGCCTAAGGAGGAACAAGCTAAGCCTCTTCTGGAAGAGCGTGAAACTCCGGAAGAAGAAAAGACAGAAGTTGTAGAAATTATCGAAACACCTACAACTAAAATTATTAAAAAGAAAAAGAAACCAACGAAGAAAGGTGAGCCTACAGTAATTACTGAAGAGATTATTCAGAAGACTGTAGATGAAGCGAAGATCATGGAAGATGAAAAGATTGTAGAAATAACNCAACTAAAATTATTAAAAAGAAAAAGAAACCCACGAAGAAAGGAGAACCTACAGTAATTACTGAAGAGATTATTCAGAAGACTGTAGATGAAGCGAAGATCATGGAAGATGAAAAGATTGTAGAAATAACTGAAACGCCAACGAAAAAAGTTATTAAAAAGAAGAAAACGAGAATCTCCAAAGATGGTGTACCAGAAGAAGAGGTTGAAGAGCTTGTAATATTGAAACCAAAAGAAGAACAAGCTAAACCACTTTTGGAAAAACTTGAAACTCCTAAGGTAGAAAAACCAGAAGTGATAGAAATCGTTGAAACACCTACAACAAAAGTAATTAAGAGGAAAAAGAAACCCACCAAGAAAGGTGAGCCCACAGTAATCACCGAAGAGATAATCCAAAAGACTCCAGATGAAGCAAAGATCATGGAAGACGAGAAGATCGTAGAAATAACTGAAACTCCAACGAAAAAAATTATTAAAAAGAAAAAGACAAGAATCTCCAAAACTGGTGTTCCTGAGGATGTGGTGGAAGAGCTTGTCATTGAAAAGCCTAAGGAGGAACAAGCTGAGCCTCTTCTGGAAGAGCGTGAAACTCCCGAAGAAGAAAAGCCAGAAGTTGTAGAAATTATCGAAACACCTACAATTAAAATTATTAAAAAGAAAAAGAAACCAACGAAGAAAGGTGAGCCTACTGTGATAACGGAAGAGATTATCCAGAAAACTGCAGATGAAGCGAAGATCATGGAAGATGAAAAGATTGTAGAAATAACTGAAACACCAACGAAAAAAGTAATTAAAAAGAAAAAGACGAGAATCTCCAAAGCTGGAGTACCAGAAGAAGTGGTTGAAGAGCTTGTAATAGAGAAACCAAAAGAAGAACAAGCTAAACCTCTTTTGGAAAAACTTGAAACTCCAAAGGAAGAAAAACCTGAAGTGATAGAAGTCGTTGAAACTCCTACAACTAAAATTGTTAAAAGGAAAAAGAAACCCACCAAGAAAGGTGAGCCCACAGTAATCACTGAAGAAATCATCCAAAAGACTCCAGATGAAGCAAAGATTATGGAAGACGAGAAGATCGTAGAAATAACTGAAACTCCAACAAAAAAAGTTATTAAAAAGAAAAAGACAAGAATCTCCAAAACTGGTGTTCCTGAGGATGTTTTTGAAGAACTTGTAATAGAGAAACCAAAAGAAGAACAAGCTAAACCTTTTCTGGAAGAAGATAAACCTGTACAAATTTCAGAAGTCCCAATAGTAGAAAGCACTGAAACTCCTACTGTAAAGAAAAAGAAGAAGAAGGTTCCCAAAAAAGATGAAATTGAAGAATGGGTTGAGCCAGAATATGAAAAACCGGTTCTGGAACCAATGCCTGAGAAAATAGAAAGAGTTCCAAAAAAGAAGAAAGAAAAGAAACCACTTCCTCCAGAATTACAAAAATTAATTCCACAGAAGATCGAACGAAAAGAAATAAAACCAACTAAACTCCAATATTCTAAACCTGAAGAAACTGTACAATTTGGTACAGTAAAATTACGAAAAGTTACAGTACCAAAGAAGAAAGAAACTAAAGAACCAAAATTACCTAGAATTCTATTACGAAGTCGAATCACATTTATTGGTGACTATCCACCAGAAATACAGAAACCACAGATCACATTACTCGAAGAAAATCCTATTCAAGTTGGTGTTCTATCGAGAAACGTGGAAGAAGCAATGACGGTATTGAAGAGAAAGTTCAAGAAGACCAAATTACCGGAAAAAGTAATTACGGAACTTGAGAAGTTGGACCAAGAATTTGAAAAATTGAAAGAAATTCCTTTGGAAGAAATAGAAGACAAATCGATTTACGAACGTAAACCGAAAAAGAAGAAGGAAGAACCGGAGGAACCAAAGAAATTGATCAAACAGAAAGGTAAAGTTCCTGAAAAGGAAGAACCCCAACCTGAAGAAATTAAATTAAAGAAAGTACCCACAAAAGAAGTGGAAGAAACAGAAGAGACTCCAAAGAAACCTGTGAAAGAAGTTGAAGAAAAGGAAGAACCAAAAGAGAAGAAACGAAAACCAAAAGTAAAACTGGAACACGAAGATTTCAAACCAACCGAATTTGATAGACCGGAACTTGAAAAGTATGTACCAGAAGAAATTGAGAAATCTGAAGAACCAAAACCAGAACCGAAACCAAAACCATACGTTAAAGAAAAACGAAAGAAACCTGATCAAGAAATCGAAGAAGTTCCAATTATTCCRGGCAAACCAAAATCACCTGAACCAGAAGAAGAACCTGAGGTTAAATTCAGAATACCGCAAAAAGAAAAACCTGAAGAAGAGCCTGAAAAGATAAAATTAAAAGGTTGGAAAAAAGGTAAACCAGAAGATGAAAGTACAGAAAAATTCCCTGAAAGGGAAGAAGAAGAAATTTCGAAACTTCCAAAAGATGAAACGGAAGATGAAGTAACGATACGTAAAACAAAGTTGAAAAAACCTAAGAAAAAAGCTGTCCCAGAGGAATCGGTTGTTGAACAAATTCCTAAAGATAAACCTAAAGATATCGAACAAGTGGATGAAGATATAATCACAGAAGAAATAATAGATACAGTTGTGGTAAGGAAGGAAAAGAAAAAAGTTGATGATACACAAAAACCTGAAAAAGTAAATGGCGTACCATTAGGTAAGAATGAAATAATGGAAGTTATGGATACCATGACTTTACTGGAACATAAAGACACTTTAAATAAATACAAAACTGTATCACTCTTAACAGCTTTAACTGATGATATCGAAGACACTACTACTACAACAGAAACACACGATATGCCAAAACACACAAGACCGTTAAAACCTAAAACTGATGAAATCTTATCAGGAGGTAAGCTTATTTTTCACGTAATAAACTATTGTCAACCCTCTAAAAAAAACTTTTTCATATTATAAAAAAAAAGATGAACATCGACACAAAAATACTTTCAATTAACACAATTTACAACCTTATTCATTCATACAAACAAAATATAGGATGGAATTTATCTAGGTTTAGGTTATTTCAATAATTTTAAGTGTAAATATAATTATTATTATTATTATTATTATTATTATTATTATTATTATTATTATTATTATTATTATTATTATTATATATAAAACAAACCTTAAATTAAATTAGTATACATATATATTCATACATAAAACAATATTTATATTTTTAATACAATTAGGAGTGATAAATATAAAAATTAAAAAAAACCCATAATAACTCACGTTTAAAAATCATTGCATTCAAATGTTTACAGACTAAAGTTACTGCATTTCTTAATTGTTTTAATAATTATTACATACATTAATATTATTATTTATACTTTTACAGATATCGTAGAGAAGACAACGGAAGAGGTTAGTCACAAATTAATAAAAAAATAAAAATAATCATTCACATACCATTTAATTTTTCAAACAATATATTATAATTAAATTTATTTTATGTCATAATAATAACAGGAAATTCAAGAGGAAATTATCGAAGAAACTCCTACGAAAAAGATCGTTAAAAGGAAGAAAAAGCCACAGAAAATAATTGATGAAGTTACTGAAGAAATAGTTGAAGAATTGATAATAGAAAAACCAAAGAAAGAAAAAGTTCGACCAGTCACAGATGAAAAGGAAGAAATAGAAATTACTGAAGTTAAAATAGAAGCACCTAGAATCGAAGAAGAAACAATAATCATAGAAGAAGAAGAAGAAATAATAGAAACACCAACTCGTAAAGTAATCAGAAAGAAAATGAAACCTAAAACTAAAGAAAAGGAAGAACAATTAATCGAAGAAATTATAGAAAAACCATCGATGATAGAAAAAGTATCAACTAGTATAAAAGAAACAACTGATGTTGAAATTGTAGAAACACCATTGAAGAAAATAATTAAAAAGAAAACAACTATTGTTAAAGATGATGGTGTACCTGAAGAAATAATAGAAGAATTTATCATAGAAAAACCAAAATTAGAAAAAGCTAAACCAACGATTGAAGAAGAAAGATTGGAAGAAATCATTGAAGTAATTGAAACACCAACTCAGAAAATAATTAAAAAGAAAAAACCAAGAAAACAAGATCAAGCTATGGTTGTTACTCAAGAAATAATAGAAAAAACATCTGACGAAAGTCAAATTATGAAAGATCAACAAATAGTTGAGATTGTTGAAACACCATCGAAAAAAGTCATCAAAAAGAAGAAAAGTACAATTTCGGAATCTGGAATACCTGAGGAACGTATTGAGGAAATTGTTATTGAAAAACCAATAACTGCTGAAGCATTGGAAGAAATTATTTTGAAGGAAGGTATACAAATTACAGAAATAATAACTGCATCTTATACAGATGAGTTACCACAACGAGAAAAAATATCACCAGAAGAAGCAATCAAAACCAAACTTGAAGAAGAAAAAGAAAAAGTCAAGGTAATCGATGTCACTGTTAAAAAAGCACCAAAGAAAAAGAAAAAAGCTGATGACGTTGAAGAACAAGTAGTCGAGGAATTGGTCGAAGAAATCATTTCGAAAAAACCTGAAAAGAAGAAAGTTCAACCAACTGTTACAACTGAAGAAGGTGTAGAAATAACTGAAATAATTTCAGAAGATACAACTGAATCGATTCCAGAATTAAAAGTTAAGAAAGATGTTGCTAAAAAGAAAGAAGAAATAATTGAAGAAAAGATTACAAAGGATCAAGTTATAGTAATGAAAGCTCCGAAGGAAACTAAAGAAGAAATAACAGAAATAATTGAAGAGCCTTTCGAAACGGAAAAACCAAAAGAGGAAAAAGCAATTGTACTTGAAGAAGATAAAAAAGAAACACCAAAGACAACAAAGATTTCGATTAAAAAGGCACCAAAGAAACCTGAAAAGGTTCAAGAAGAAATTCCTAAGAAAAAGGTTACGTTTGATGAAAGGAAAGCTGTTGAAGAAGAAGAGGAAAAACCTGAAGAAATAATTGAAGAAATTCCATTGAAAAAAGATAAACCAGAAAAAGCGGCAACTGAAGTTATTCCTAAAGAAGGTATTGAAATTACTGAAGTAATAACTGAAATAATTTCGCAAGAATTACCTGAAGATAAAATCCCAGAGGATCAGGCTCGTCCTATAACGAAGAAAGAAGAAAAAGTGAAGGTAACGAAAACTCGTGCACAAAAATTCCCCAAAAAACAGGAAGAGGAACAACAGGAGGATATCGTGAAAGAACTTAAATTGGATGAACCAATTAAGGAACAACAGAAGACAACGATCATAACTCAAGAAGGTATTGAAACAACTGAAGTAATTACAGATGTTATGACGAGTGAAATACCAACAGAAGAAATACCAAAGAAAGAAAAAGGAATTCCAATTGAAGAAAAACCACAAGAAAAACCTGAAATAACAGAAGTGTCTGTTAAAAAGGCACCTAAAAAGAAACCCAAAGAAGAAAAACCGAAACCAGAAATTAAAGAAGAAAAACCAGAAATTAAAGAAGAAAAACCAGAAATAGTTGAAGAAATTAAAGAAGAAAAACCAGAAAAAGTTGAAGAAATTAAAGAAGAAAAACCTGTTGAGATTGAGGAAGTACCCAAAGTCGAAGAGAAACCTGAAACTAAACCTGAAAAATTAAAGAAAAAACGGGTAAGTAAGTCAGATGTTACACCAGTCCCAGAAGAAGTTCCTAAACATGTTGAAGAAGAGGAAAAGGTTCAACCAGAAAAACCAGAAGAAATTAAGAAAGAAGAAGAAAAGCCTGTAYCAGAAGAAGTCAAAGAAAAACCTGTTCCTAAAAAGAAGAAAAAGAAGGTTCCTAAAAAAGATGAAATTGAAGAATGGGTTGAGCCAGAATACGAA